CGTCGAGTACTACCGAGAGAAGGCGCCCGTCGCGCTCGGGACTCTCGGCGCCGGCGCGAAGCTCCGGCTCTGGATCCGCGACGCGGGCTGTCGCGTCGCGATGTCGCTGCACCCGTCCGCGCTCCAGTACTCGCACGTCGACGGCGAGACGCTGCTCGAGGCGTATCCGCCGAGCAGGGACCTCGCTCGCGGGCCCGCCTTGTAACAAAGGTCAAACATTATCGTACGTGGCCGTGCGCGCGTGCTTCTCGCCCGGGTAGGCGCCCGGCTTCGGCGGGTTGAGGACGTCCGCGTCCGCGTAGCCGTCCCTCGCGTCGCGCGCGTGCGCGGCCGTCGCGACGCGGCGCGCGGCCGCGCCGCCGCCCGCGGCGTCCCGGCGAAGCTTGGCGACGAAGCGCGCGACGTTGGCGCGCTTGGGGTCCGCGGGCGCGAGGGCCGCGGCGAGGTCCTCCAGCGCGGACTCGGCGACGGCCGCGGCGTCCTTGTTCCGCTTCGACTTGGCGAGGCGCTGCGCGGCCAGCAGCCGCAGGTCCGCGCGCATGGCCCCGCGCGCGGCGCCGCAGGCCGCCCGGTCCAGCGCGCGGCCCGCGAGCCGCGCGGCGACGACGCCGTCGCCGGTGGCCTTGCCGAGCTCGACGGCGACCGCGTCGACGGCGTCTCGCACGGCCCCGAGGCACGGGTCCCGCTCGAGGTTCTGGAAGGCGACGCCGACCTCGAGGGGCCGTTTGGAGGTCGGCCGGTCCGCCTCGTTGCGCTCGCAGCGCGCGCACGCGCAGGCGAAGAAGAACGACGCCTTCAGCGCGTGCCGCCGCTGCGCGCGCGTCGCCAGCAGCACGCGCGGCCGCAGGTAGGAGCAGAGGAGCTCCGTACCCTGCTCCAGCGTCGGCGCGTCGCCGCAGTAGCGCGCCTCGAAGGCGCAGCCCGGCTCGCCGTCGTCGTCCGCCGCGAAGATCGAGAGCCAGACGTTCGGCTCGCACGAATGGTTCAGCGCGGCGCCCCGCGGGAAGAGCGCGAGGCCCGCGCTCGCGAGGCCCGCGCAGTCCAGCGGGAAGGCGTTGAAGCGGATCTGGAGGAGCTGGACCTCGACGAGGGCCGCGTACGCGTCGTCGCGGTCGCGCATGCGCGACAGGATCGAACCGCCGACGCGCGCGGCCCGCAGCGCGGCGTGCGCGGCGTCGTCGTCGCGGCTCCTGGCGATGAGCAGGTCGCGGTGGTCCACGAGGCCCGGCACGGGCGCGTCGAGGCGCGACGCGAGCAGCAGCGCGTCGAAGTCGACGTCGCGCGCGATGGCCGTCGCCTCGGCGACCGCCGCGTCGCGCTTCTTCAGTTCCGGCGCGGCGTCCGCCTTCGACGCGCGGTGCATCACCCCCGCCATGTCCACGAGCTTGCAGACGAGCGCGCAGTCGTGGCCGTCGACGCCCGCGGTCCTCGCCTTGCAGGCCTCGGAGCACCACGACACCGCGAGGCAGCCCTTGCAGACGATCGAGCTCTTCCGGAGGCAGACCCAGCAGACGTCGCGGCACTTCTCGAGGCGCGGCGACGCCGCGGCGCTCCGGTCGCGCAGGACGCGGCACCCGCGGCCGACGGACCGCGCCGCGACGACGGACCGCGACCCGCCTCTGTGGACGATCTCGCCGACGTCCGCGGCGTCCTCGAAGACCCAGCGGCTCCGGCCGGTCGCCGACGACACGAGCCAGGCCTGCTCCTCGACGCGCGCGATGGCGTCGATGCTGTCGCGCGCGATGGTGTCGATGCTGTCCGCGGGCGCGTTGCAGGGCACGCAGGCCTCGGCGGGCGAGGCCATCGCAGAGCTCGCAAAACGGGTGCGAACACCGGCTTCATCAGCGCTTCAACGAGCACTTCATCGAGGCGTCCGACGACGCGACTTAGGTCGCCGCGGCCTCCTCCCCATCGGCCTCGCCGCCCGTTGCCTCCTCCGTTGGCGCCAAAGGCTTGCGGCTCGACGCCTTCGTCGGCGACGTGCCGCGGTCGGGCCGCGTGAGCCGCTCCTCGGCGTCGACGGCCTTGTAGCCGTTCTCGTCGAGCACGGCCAAAATGTCGGCGTACTCCGGGTTGTTGACGATGTTGTAGTCGACGAGGTGCGTCTCGGCCATGACCTCCCAGGAGCGCTGGACGTCGCCCTTGCGGTGCCGCGCGCCGTTGGGAGTGGCGCCCGCGGCGCGCCACCGGCGGTAGATCGTACTAAAGTTCGCGAGCACGACCTCCTTCTTCGCGCCCTTGCGCAGCTTCGGGTGGAAGACGACGGACCGCCAGGGCGCCGTGAAGCCCGTGTGGCGGTAGACGTGGTCCAGCGAGGCCCGGCGGACCTCGACGTTGCAGAGCGCGCACGCGTCGTAGAAGAGGAGCACCGCGGGCCGGCCGACGACCGCGTAGACGAGCGCGAGCCCGAAGAAGACGGCGAATAAAATGACGAAGAGCACGACGTTGTGCCGCGACATGCGGCGGATCGCGAAGATCTGCCAGTCCGGCCGGCTCCCGTGCTGCGCGATCTTCTCGCCCGACGCGAAGCTGCCGCTGTGGAGGAGCTCCTCCTCCGACAGGATGTAGGCCGCCATGGCGACGTGGACGAGCGCCATGGCGAGGAAATACTTGGCGAACTTGATGCCCAGGGTCTCGTCGAAGTTCGGCGGCTGGTCGACGCATTTGAGGAGCAACGCGCGATTCACGCCGTAGGAGAGGAACAGCGCGACGGCCGCCATGGGGATGAGCAGGGGCATGCCCGCGGCGTAGAAGAGGGACACGAGCATCGTGTTCAGCACGATGGCGTAGGACCGCTCGACCTCCCAGCGCGGCGGCCGGTAGAGCGCGTCGAGCGCCTGCTGCGTCGTCGCGCCGCTCCTCAACAGGACGCGCTTCAGCTCCGCGACGACGACCTTCTGCACGAAGGAGATCTGGGGCACGAAGACGTTCATGATCATCGTCACGCCGAGCGCGGCGCCCACGGACCCGTACCACTTCTTGCCCATGTTCGCGTGGTTGCCGCTGAAGAGCTTCGAGCCCTCGGACGTCTCCCGGACCTCTTTCCGCGCGTCGTCGGGGTCGAGGTACGCGTTCACGGCGAGCGCGATGAGCGCCGTGTTCACGAACATGGAGCTCGTGAGCTTCAACACCAGCGACGAGAGCCGCTTCGTGTGGGACACGTGGTGCTCGACGTCGACGAGCGCGTAGATGGCGACGCGCGTCGCCTCGTTGACGACGATGACCAAGACGGCGACGACGAGCTGCGCGAGTAACGCGACGAAGGAGGCCTTGACCGCGTCCTCGCAGACGTCGAAGCCGCCCATGTCCTTGCGGCCCGTCAGGATGTACCAGGTCTTCTTCAGGCCCAGGTTGTAGGAGCAGTAGCAGGCCGTCAGCAGCGCCGGGTGGTACTCGAAGCACGCCTGCGTCGTCAGCCAGCCCGACGTCACGTCCTGGTCGGGCCGCCCGTAGCACGCGAGCGAGTAGCACTTGAGCGACGGGTCGTCATCCGTGTCCTTGGGCGCGCAGGCGCCGTCGCAGACGCGGCATCTGTCCTCGACGCAGCGGTCGCTCAGGTCCGTCGACGCGTAGGCGTTCCCGTCGCCCGCGTCGACGCGGAGCAGGCCGTAGATCTCGGACCGCGCGGACACGGTGCACGACTTCGAGAAGCGGCCGCCGTCGTGGTCGCACTGGAGGTCCGCCGCGAGCGTCTCGTCGACCTCGAGGCCCGCGTCCGTCCGGTTCATCGGCGGCAGGCCGAGGCCCATGGCGAGGACCGGCAGGTCCGCGTAGTCCAGGCCCGCGTACTCGAAGTGCTCGTAGCCTGCGGGGCAGGCGCCGTCGCCGAAGTGGACGAGCTCGTTCGTCAGGTTCTGGTAGCTGCCCGTGAACGCCGCGGGCAGGTTGTCGCACTTGAGCTTGTCGGGCGTCGCGCGCGCGGCGCGCGCGGACCTCCGGCTCGCGAAGTTGCACGCCGCGGCGCTCAGGATGAGGATGAGGATCGTCAGCACGTCCGAGACGCGCCGCCGCACGAAGGTCTCCGCCGCGGAGTGCTCGAGGTTCTCCCAGATGATGTTCGACGGCGCGGGCGCCTTGCCGACGCGGAGCGCCTTCGCGCCGCGGAACCGGAGCGCCGCGGGCTGGAAGGAGCGCGTCCAGAATTTTTTGGAGGCGCGGTAGTCGTCGAGGCAGCGGAACGCCGACTCCTCGTGCTCGAAGGTCACGAACGCGACGCCGCACCGGGCCATGGTCGTCCGGGGGTCGTGTTTCGCGACGAGCTTGTCGAAGTACTGGGCCTGCTTGGCGACCAACACGTCGAACTTCTTCATCGCCGCGCCGACCTTGGCGAGGGACCCGCCCTTGGCCTTCAGTTTTTGGACCCGCGCGCGGAGCGCCGCCTCTTTGTTGACGGTCTTGATCTTCGCGCGCGCGCCGCGGATGAGCGCGCCGAAGGGGTGCGACAGCTGGACGTCGGCGACCCAGGACCCCAAAAACTGCTCGTTGCCCGCGACGTGGGACACGTCGCTCACGGGCAGCACGGCCGACGGGAAGTCCGCGCAGAGCACGTCCGACTCCGCGTCGAGCGCCTCGACGGTGATCGGCGGCGGTGTCGCGTCGGGCGCGACCCGGTAGGGCGACGCCTTCGCGCGGCCCTTGCGCTGGCGGAGCACGGCGAGGCGCTCGGCCTGCCAGGCCTGCGTCGGCGACGGCCGCCGCGTCGGCCGGCCGACGCGCTTCTTCCTCGCGTACGCGAAGCCGGCCGCGGCCGCCAGGACGGGCGCCGCGACGGCGGCGGGCTCCGCCGGCGCCGCGAACACCGCGGCGACGCCGACGAGCACGAAGCCGGCGCCGGCGACGGCGAGCGCGACGCCGCGCTCGTCGACGCCCGCCGTCGGCGCGCGCGCGTCCATGGGCTTCGACAAGTCGTAGAGCGCGGAGAAGTGGTCCCGGATCTCCGCGATGGTCGCGTCCTCGGGCAGGCCCCGGACCATGACCGTGTAGTCGCTCGGCTCCGCGTTGGCCTTGCGGTGCGCGGACACCAACCGGTTGAGGCGCAGCGCGAACGCGATCGCGCCCGCGACGACGGCGCACGCGGCGAGGAAGCAGAAGCACGAGATCCACGTCGTCATCGTCTTGTCTTTCATGTCCTGGCCGTAGACGTCGAGGTCGCGCCAGTCCTTGCAGATCGTCGACGACGTCAGCCCCCTCCGCTCGTTGCAGCGGCAGTCGTGGCCGCCGGCCTCGCACTTGATGTCGACGCCCTGGTCGATGAGCGCCGCGTAGGGCCCGCTCTCCGGGCACGCGCAGCCGCCCTGGAGGAACGCGTCGGGGTCCAGGCCCTGGTTCGCGAGCGAGAGGCGGATCATCCCGAAATCCGCCGCGGCCGCGATCGCCGACGACGACAGCGCGTAGCCGCCGTTGCCCGCGCCGTTGAGGACCATGACGGGCACGTAGCAGACGCCCATGACCAGCAGCACCGCCGAGGACACGCGCAGCGCCTCGAAGAAGAGCTTGACGCCGACGCCGAGGCGCTCGAGCGACTCCGTGGACCCGAAGGCGCTGTTGCGGCCGCCCTCGAAGAGCCGCGCGCGCCGCTTCGCGTCCGCGGCGGCCCGGTCCGGCTTGACGTAGGTCTCGTCGAGGTCGCGGAAGCTCGCGGACCGGGCCTCGGCGCTCAGCCGGCCCCGGAGCGTCGCGGCGCACTCGCGGCCCGCGCTCTGCGCGATGACCTCGGACCGCAGCGCCTCCTCCGCGAGCTTGCGGAGCACGAGGCACGCGGCGTGGGGCGGCATGCCCTCGAGGTCCTCGAGGACGATGTCCTGGCGCCGGAACTTCCACTTGGGGCACGCGTTCAGGATCCGCGCGGGCAGGCTCGACTCGCTCGTGTGGACGCCCGCCTCGTCGATGACCCAGAGGTCCGCGTCGACGGGCGCGAGCGGCTCGCTCGGCGACGGCGCGTGCCGCTTCGGCGGGTGCAGCAACGCCTGGACCTACGAGCGCGCGCGGTTCCCCCCGATCGCGCGAAGGTCGCCGCGCCGGCCGTCGCCATGATCGTCGAGTTCTTCATGTGGTCTTTGAGTTTCGCCTTCAAAGCGCTCGTCCGCTCCGACGTCGCGGCCGGCGCGGGCCGCTCGGGCTGCCCCGCGGCCGGCGCCGCCTCCGAGGGCTCCGCGGCGCCGTCCGTCGTGTAGGTCGCGTCGTCCGTCGCCTGCGCCGCGCCGTCGGCCGCGTAGGCCGCGTCGTCCGTCGCATAGGCCGCGTCGCCCGTCGCATAGGCCGCGTCCTGCGCCGCGTCTTGCGCCGCGCCGTCGTAGGTCGCATCGGTCGGTGCCTCCGGTTCGGTGTACGGCGCCACCGCCGCCGATGGATCCACGTACGACACGTCGTCATCAGACGGCCCAACGTACGGCGTTACCTCCTCGCTCATGGCTGCCAACTCTTACTCACCATGCGGAGGCGCTGAGGTGCATTCAATAAAACTCAAGTCGATGAGGCTGCCGGCAGCATGCAGCATCTATGCAGCTCCGGCCTCACACCGATTCGGATACCGCTGAACTCTGAAAGCGTCACACGCCACGCGCGCAGCATCGTTGCAAGCAGCATGGGCGGCGCCGCGACGAAAGCCTACGCCGTCACGTCGGGCGTGAACGTCGTCATCACCGGCGGCAACCGCGGCATCGGCAAGGCCTGCGTCGAGCAGTGCTTCTCGAAGCTCGACGCCGCCTCGACCATCGTACTGGGCGCGCGATCGGTGAAGGCCGGCGAGGCGGCCAAGGCGGAGCTCGAGGAGCGGCTCGGCACGGCGGACAGGGCGAAGATCGTCGTGCAAGCCGTCGACGTCTCGGACGCGGCGTCCGTCGACGCGCTCGGCGCGTACGTCGCGTCGGACCTCGGCGGGAAGCTGGACAGCCTCGTGCTCAACGGAGGCATCAACAACATGGCCGCGTCCGGGATGGCGGCGCGCAAGGTCATGGACACGAACTACGTCGGCAACAAGGCGCTGTGCCTCGCCATGGTGCCGTTCCTCGAGAAGTCGGCGAGCGGCCGCATCGTCGTGCTCGCGTCCAAGGTCGCGCAGCTCAGCAGCAGCATGGTCAACGGCATGGTCTCGGACGAGATCAAGGGCCGCTTCCTCGCGGCGGACCTGACCGTCGCGCGGCTCGACGCGCTCGTCGAGGATTTCCTGGCCGCCGACGCGGCGGGCGAGAGCGAAGCGCGGGGCTTCAACCCCAGCGCCTACGCCGTCTCGAAGTGCGCCGTCGCGCACCTCGCCCGCGTCGTCGCGCGCGACCACGCCGGCCTCCGCTGCGCGTCCGTGTTCCCCGGCATCGTGCGCACGGACATGAAGCCGCCGGCGGAGTGGGGCATGATGCCGCTCTACCTGATCAAGTGCGTCGTCGCCGTGTCGCCGCTCGAGGGCGCGGACTCGCCCGCGTGGGTCGCGCTCCAGGAGCTGCCCCCCGGCGCCCCCCCCGCGTGGAACGGCGGCATCGTCGAGGGGCGCGCGCACGTCGCGTTCTAAGTAGACGCGCCGCGGCGATAACATATCCCGCCGGCGGGATATGTTAAAGGCCGCTTCAACTTGGACTTCAACCTCAAACCTTGCACTTCAACAGGGACCTCAACACAGCCGCTTGCCCTTCAGAATTATCCAGGGGGGTTCGCGGGGTACCTCGGTGAACCGAGCCAGGCGGCGGCCGGAGGCCGCCCCCTAGCCGTCGCGGCGGAGGTTGGTCGTGGGGGTGGCGAGGGCGGACATACTCCCTAGTCTTCCGCCTCGTCTTCGGCCTCGTCCTCGGCCTCGTCCTCTGCCTCGTCTTCGGCCTCGTCCTCGGCCTCGTCCTCGGCCTCCGCCTCGTCTTCGGCCTCGGCCTCGTCCTCCGCCTCGTCACCGTCCTCGGCCTCGTCCTCGACCTCGTCCTCGGCCTCGTCTTCGGCCTCGTCACGGTCCTCGGCCTCGTCCTCGGCCTCGTCCTCGGCCTCGTCCTCGGCCTCGTCCTCGGCCTCGTCCTCGGCCTCGTCCTCGGCCTCCGCCTCGTCTTCGGCCTCGGCCTCGTCCACCGTCCTCGGCACTCGTCCTCGGCCTCGTCCTCGGCCTCGTCCTCGGCCTCGTCTTCGGTCCTCGGCCTGTCCTCGGCCTCGTCCTCGGCCTCGTCCTCGGCCTCGTCCTCGGCCTCGTCTTCGGCCTCCTTCTCGGCATCGGTACAGCACGCCGACGGGCAGTTCTCGGCCGCGCCGTCGATTTTTGTGCACTTGTTTTTCTTGGACACCCAATCGCAATCCTTGTTCGACTTCTTCCAGTACCAAGTCGTGGAATCGGCGGCGCAGCCGGAGGCGTCGTCACCGTCGGCATCATCGCTGCACGTCCCGCACGTCTGAGGGCAATGTACGTCGCCGCCAGCCTTCTCGCACTTCTTCGTCTTCTTCGCGAGCCACGCACACGTCTGCTTCGATTTCTTCCAATACCACGTCGTCGAGTCCGTACCTAGCAGCGAGCAAGGTATTTCGGGCTCAGCTTCAAAGGCTCGCTTCAAAGGCGCTGACTATTGCAGTCTTCTTCAAGCGTGCGCGACGCTCGGAGCGAAGCTTTCGCGGCGGCGGCGCCGGCTGACGTGAAGGATGAGAGGACGACGGCGATGAAGAGCGTGCATTTCATCATGATGTTTTGGGTGGCGGCAGCAGGCGTCAGTGGCTCGATTCTCGGCAAGCTCCGGGAAGGCGGCAGTGGCTCGATTCTCGGCAAGCTCACTTACCAATCAACGGACCAAGTTGCAGTGAAATGTATCGCTCGGCTGAAACGTCGTCTTTTGCTCGAGACGATGTGGTTGGCCGGCGGCGCGGGGCTGCGTCCGGGGTTCGGGGCGCCCGAAGGTAGTACACTCTCGCGGCTGCCGGCCGGAATCAGGGCGACGAGCGCGCGGTCTGAAAAGTGTACTACCTTCGAGCACCCAGAACCTCGCCGCGGGGACCGCCTCGCGCGCGCGGGAGAGAGAGGGAAAAATGATCTCAGCTTCTGCGTGTTCCCGAGACGAGCGGGCTGAAATTCTGGGATGCCCGACCCCGAATTCCCACTGCAAAGTGTGCTCAGTTTCTCTCCCCCTGGCCTGGAACATGCCAAACCCAGCATCAGAGATCGTGCGACCATCATCGACGACGTCCAACCACTTTTCGAAAGTAAACTACTAGGTTCAATAAGTTAATGTTGCGTTCCGGCCAACGATTGGTAAGTGAAGCTCCGGGAAGGTTCGAGCGTGGTTGATAGCAAAGCTGTTTGTAAGTGTTACAAACACTAACTCAAGCTCACGAAGCACTCGTAGACACTTCTGTCAGCGCGACGGAACAGTTGCTGGTTCGACTTCTGTGTTTTTTTTGCACATTTGGTGGTAATTTTCGCCTTTTTTTGGCCGTTGAAACACTTGCCAACACTTGCCTCTCCCCCCTAAACACTTACATTTTGTGCTCCAAAACACTTCACTGGAACTTTGCTATCAACCACGGGTTCGAAGTCAGAGTCCGAGCCTAGCTTCATGGGGTGTGAGGTAATAATTATTGTTGAAGTGAAATATGACACGACGCGATATGACGTGATATGGGCTGCTTCGGTAGGTTTCTCGAGACGCGACGATGCCTCGTGGGGTCGCGCGTCGGCGGCATGGACGGCGGCGTCATCGGCGTCGACGTCGACGGCGACGGCGTCTCCGATTTCACGCTGCCTGCCTGTTCCACCATCGATGGACCCGGACGCGCGTCTTCGCGTCGTTCTGCCGCGAGTTCGAGGACCACGCGCCAGATATGGAAGCAATGGTTACTTTTGCCTTAAGATTCAATCGGCCGCTAAATTGGAATGTCTCTAATGGCACGAATATGAGCGACATGTTTTCTCTGGACGGGTTCTGGCGAGTCTTCTGGCACATTTAACATATCCCGCCGGCGGGATATGTTAGCGATTTTCAACAGGGATTAGGAGGCCGCGCGCGCGCGGCCGCGCGGGACCTAGTCCGCCTTGGGCGTCTTCTTGCTCTTCTTGTCGTCCTCGTCCTCCTCTTCCTCCTCTTCCTCGTCGTCGTCGTCGTCGTCGTCGTCGCTCTTCTTCGGGCTCTTCTTCTTCTTCTTGCCGCAGAGCATGGAGAGGGACACGAGCGTCGCGAGGAGCGTGCCCGCGGCGGCGAGCGGCTGGTCCTTGGCCGTGTCGATGGTCTGCGTCGCGAAGACCTCGGCCTTCTTGAGCGCGCCCTTCATGCCCTTCTGCTTCTCGGCCTTCTTCGCGGCCTTGGCGGCGGCCTTGGCCTCGGCGGCGGCCTGCTCCGCGGCCTTCTTCTCGTAGAAGGGCTCGGCGGCGGCCTTGGCCTCGTCGACGGACGCGCCGAGGTAGAAGTTGTCGTAGGTGATGCCCTTGTTCGTCGTCCAGACCTCGACGGCGAGGGCGCCGACCTTCTTGAGCTTCTTCGCCGGGTCCGACGGCTCGAAGTAGACGGGGTTGGGGATCTTCTTCGGGAACCACTTGCCCTTGTACGCCGGGTTGTCGATCTTCGGGCGGACCCACTTGCCCTTGTAGTTCGGGTTGTCGATGAGGGGCGGGTTCCAGGGGCCGCAGCCCGGGGCCGCCCCGCACTTGGGGTTGTCGACCTCGGGCGCCTCCCAGGAGCCGTCCTCCTCGACGTCCCAGTCGTCGGGCATCTTCGCGTCCGGATCGGGCACGCTCGTCGGCTCGCCCTCGAGCCAGCCGTCGGGCATCTCCGCGGACTCGTCCTCGACCTTGCGCGGCTCGTCCTCGTCCCAGTCGAAGGGCTTCTTCGCCTTCTCGTCGTCGATCTTCGCCGCGTCGACCCAATCCTCGGGCTTGAGGTCGTTCTCGTCGTCGACCTCGCGCTCGGGCGTCAGCGGCGGCTCGAGGGAGTCCATGAGGGACCCCTCGGCGGCGATCTCGCCGTCGATGTGGACGACGAAGGTGTCGTCGGCGCGGATCGCGAGGCTGTAGAGGTGCGCGGCCTTGTCGGTCTTGGCCTTGGGCGGGTCCTTGAGGTGGTGCTCGAGGACGTCGCCGGACACGGGGTTCTCCTGGCGCAGGATCACGTGGACCTTGTCCGTGCCGCCGCACTTGTCCGGCCCGAACATGACGACGTAGCCGCTCTGGTCGTCGAACGCGGCGACGTCGACGGGATCCTCGAGGAGCTTGATGTACGCGCCGCCGCAGGACAGCCCGTCCGTGAGCGTGACCTCGTACTGGACGACGAGCGTGCCGTCGCTCTGGAAGTCCACCGGCGCCGCGACGCCGTACATGCGGTTCGCCACCTTGAGCAGCAGGCCGCCGTCGGACGCGTCGACCGCCTGGCCCGCGTAGCGCTCGTTCGACGACTGGACGAAGGGCGCCAGGCCGCCGTCGAAGGTCGCCGTGAAGCTGGCACCGAGGGCCGCAGCCGGGAGGAGGGCCGACACGCAGCGCATCGTCGTGGTGGTGGTGGTGCACGCGACGATTCGCGGACCGATGGACGGACACGCGGAGTGGCAGAGTTGGCGCTCAGCGATTCGCGCCCGGCATGATCGGCATGTCCCGGCAACATCCAGCGCTCGACGCCTCGCGCTGCCAGCGCAGCTCGCACGCCGCCGCCGTCGTCCGCGCCGCACAAGCAGCCAACACAAGCAGCACACCACCGCCACAGCACACAAGCAGCACACCGCCGCCACAGCAGCCAACACAAGCATCACCAATGATGCTCAAACTCCTCCTCTGCGCGGCGGTCGCCCGGGCCTTCAAGCCGAGCAAGCTCGTCGCGGTCACGGGCGCCACGGGCCGCACGGGCGTCGGCGTCGTCGAGGAGCTCCTGCGCCGGAACCTCGGCGTGCGGTGCGTCGTGCGCAACGAGACGAAGGCCGCGGACGTGCTGCCGGCCGGCGTCGAGGTCGTCGTCGCCGACTTCGAGGACGCGTCGAGCGTCGCGGCCGCCGTCGCGGGCGCGGACGCGTGCGTCTGGGCCGCCACCGGCCTCGCGGCGACGCCGCGGAAGACGCGCTTCGGCGGCGAGACGGCCCAGCTCATCGACGAGATCGCCCTGCCGGCCATCGCCGGGGAGGTCGGCCGCGTCGTCATGCTCTCGTCCGCGGGCGTCACGCGCCCGGCCTGGTCCGCGCGGAAGCAGAAGCGCCTGCCGCAGGCCTTCGACATCCCCATCGTGCGCCTCAACCCCGCGGGCATCCTCGGCAAGAAGGCGCGCGCGGAGGCGCTCCTGCGCCGCGCGACGTCGGACTTCGCCGTCGTGCGGCCCGTGGGCCTCAACGACGACTGGCCGCGCGGGCGGCCCGTGTTCGCGCAGGGCGACGTCGCCGTGGGGCGGACGAACCGCGAGGATCTCGCCGCCGTGCTCGTCGCGAGCCTCGAGAGCGACGACGTCCGCGGCAAGACCTTCGAGATGCTCACGCTCAAGGGCTACGACGCGCCCGAGAGCCTCGAGCCGGCCTTTTCGCGCCTCGAGGCGCGGCCGTCGCGCCGCGCGGTCGCCGCGTCCTACGCGCTCTGCCAGCAGCTCCTCCCGGGCACGAGCCAGGACCCGACGAAGCTCGAGATGGGCCGCAAATACGAGGAGGTCGACGCGGGCGCCGTCGCGCCGCGCGAGCCCGGCGCGCCCGCGACGGACCGCGAGAAGGCCGTCGCCGCGGGCGCGCTCGGGAACTAACGGAGGTGCCACGCAAGCCCGACGACTCCGGGCGTCCTACCTGCGCCCGACGAACCACGACGATCGCCGCCGTACGTAGTTGCCACACGAGTCCGACGACGCCGGGCGTCGTACGCACCCCACGACACATTACGATCGCCGCCGGCGCCGCGGCGCGCCCCGCTTGCGCACGTGGAAGGCGGCGTCCGGGTCGACCCAGGTCCGCGAGCGCGCGTCGTAGAGGAGGCCGTCGTCGCCGTCGGGCCGGCCCGGGCCGCCGCCGACGGCCGCGTCGGCGCCGTCGTCGTCCTTGGCCTCGTAGGCCGCGGCGCGCGACGCCGCGGCGACGGTGACGAGGGCCGGCGCGACCTTGGTCGCCGGCTCGAGGCTCGCGCGGCGGACGTCGCCCCACGCGGCCGACGATTTGAAGACGGGCGTGATCTGCTTCGCCTGCTCCAGGTCCTTGGACACGAGGTGCCCGACCTTCTCGTAGCCGCCCTTGAGATCGTTCCAGAGCTGCCGGCGGATGCCGTCGTGCTCCGCGTGGGGCCGCGCGACGACGTGGAGCTTGAGGAGCTCGTTCGACAGCTTCGCCAGCCGTCGCTGGTTGATGCCGAGGTCCTGCATCGCCGAGATGAAGGACGTCACGATGCCCAGCCCGATGACGCTGTGCGCCAGCCAGAGGATGATGGGCGGGAAGTGCGTCTTCGGCACGAAGTCGCCGAAGCCGACCGTCGTCAGCGTCACGACGATGAAGTAGAGCGCGTCCGCCTGGGCAGCACAAGGGTGATTCAACGTCGCTTCAACGTGAGTGTTCCGCGCGCGCGCGTTCCGGAAAAAGCACCCACGCTTCGAGATCGTTCCGAGAGATGATCGCTCGTCCAAAAATCAGCCGAAACGAGTGGAAAATGGCCGAGATAGGAGCCTTTGAAGTTGGGAATTTCGCTCTCTTTTGCTGCCCTGGCGTCCGCGTAGGTCCAGCCCATGGCGTAGGCGTAGGCGAACATGCCCACGCCGATGACCAGCACGAGCAGGAACAGGAGCGCCAGCAGGTGCCAGTAGGCGCGCATCTTCACGACCTTGGCCTTGTTGATGTTCGAGATCACGTCCATCATCGTGCTGAGCTCGTCGCGGTCCAGCAGGCCGCTCATGTCGCTGTCGAGCTGGCGGTAGAGCCGCCGCATCTCCCCCTCGGGCAACCCGAATGCGCACACCGTCGCCGCCTCGACGAACTGGTTCTCCGTGAGGCAGCCGTCGTCGTCGCGCTCGAGCATGCGGTCGATGACCGCGTTCCACCGCCGGCGATCGAGCTTCGACGCGGCCTTCTCGTAGTTCGCGTGCGCGTGGGTCAGCAGCGCCTGCGTCAGGAGCGAGATGAAGACCTGGGCGAGCTGCGACAAAGCAAAGGCGAAGATGGCGATGTAGGGGATGGTCACGATCGTGATGATCCACTTGGCCTCCCGCGTCGTCACCGAGAAGTCGCCGTAGCCCACGGACGAGACGATGGAGAACGCGAAGTAGATGGACTTCTCGCGGCGCCAGTTGTGCGTGACCTCCCGGATCAGGTCGTCCGCCGAGCGGAGGTAGAACCAGTACACGAACGCGTTGTCCCACGCCCTCCGGGGATCATCGCGCGGGAACATGGCGTTCGAGAGGCCCTCGACGTCGCCCCGGAGTCGGTCGCAGTTCTCGCAGGGCGCCGTGTTGTTGAGGCAGGCCTGGTCGAAGGTGTTCATGTGGACCTGGCACGCGTCGACGGCCTCGAATTTCGGCAGCGCGAGCGGGCAGACGAGGCGGCAGTGCGTCGAGAGCTCGCCGCCGAGCCACGCGGCCTCCATCTCCGCGAGCGATCGCGTCGCGTTGCCGTCCAGGCCCGCGTCCCGCGGGCAAGGGACGGTCCATTCGTCCTTGAGCTTGAGGTAGACGCCCCACTCCCGCGACGCGTCGAGGCGCGGCCGGCCGTCGGGCGTCTCGCGGCTCGCCGCGCACTCGTCGCAGGTGTACCCCTCGCACTCGTCCAGGTAGAAGCCGAAGGAGTAGCGCAGGAGCGTGTTCTGGATGTCGCTGAGGAATCTGTTGTAGTCGCGCGCCTTTCGGTTCCTCCGGTTCTCCTTCGGGCGCTCCAAGCGCCGCAGCGTCACCGCGAGCGACTCCGTGAGCGCGTAGAGGACGAGGAACGACGTCAAGAGGTTGCGCGCGTAGCTCGGCCGCTCCTGGAACTCGTTCTTGAGGTCGGCCAAATTCTGGGGCTTGTTGATCTCGTTGGATCGGTCGCCGAGCGTGGGCCGCCCGACGACCTCCCGCGACCGGTCGTCGCGCGTCTCCCGCTCGGTGAAATCCGGGTTCCCGTCGTTGTCGCGCGGCACGCGGAACGACGTCGTCGCCGACATCATCGCGACCGCGGCGCCGCGGCCGCAACCGGGGCGGCGTTCGGCACCCCCCAGCAGCCCCCGGGCAGCATTCGTTGATATCCTGAAAGGACGCGGCACCTTTACCTCGACGACAGTTTGTTGGTGCTTGCCCGCCCACGATGGACGCGGACCGCGCCATGCTGCTGGACCAGCTGAACCAGCTCATGAGCGAGGCGGCGGGGGACGCGGAGACCATGGAGATGTACAAGGGCAAGCTCGCGGAGCTCGACGCCCTGCGCCAGCTGAACCTGCAGCTCAGCGCGGCCCTGGAGCGCGAGCGGGCGCGGGCGTCGAGCGCCGAGTCGCGCCTGGCGTCCGTCGCCGCCGACGCTGAGGCGGCGGCGCGCGCCATCGGCGACCAGATGCTGCGCGAGAAGACGGCCAAGGAGGCCGCGGAGGCGAAAGTCGCCGCGCTCAAATCCGAGGCGGCGGAGCGGGACCGCGAGGCGGGCGACCTCCGGAGCGAGCGGGAGCGGCTGCGGAGCGACGTCGAGCGGCTCCGGGGCGACCTCGACGCGGCGCGGGCGCGCTGCCGGAGCGCCGAGGAGCAAAGCAGCGAGTCGGGGAAGGTGCTCCACGTCATGCGCGCCGAGGCGCGCGCGGCGGCGCTCGCCCGCGGCGACCTCGAGGCGAAGGTGAAGAGCCTCGCGGACGCCGTGGGCCGCGTGCGCCACCTCGAGAACGAGGCCAGCGCCGCGCGCTGCTCCATCGACACGGAGGTCGCCGCGCTCGCGCACGCGGTCCAGCAGGCGAACTTGGGCGGCCCGCCGCTCGCGCCGACGCCCAAGGCGACCATCCCGCCCATGCCCCTGGTCCCGGGCGCCGGCGGCGGCGTCGCCGCGGCGCGGAGCGCGCGCGCGGAGCGCGCGGGCGCCGCGCGGCAGCGCGTCCAGTAAGCGGGGCTCTGTGTTGTGTGTGCGGCTGCGTGCAGCAGTGCGGCCGCCGGCCGAAGGGGCCCCGTGTAGTGCGCACGCGCGGCGGAGGGCTGGTGTGTGTCTTACGTCTTGGGCGAGGGGGACCCGCCGGCGCGCGCGCGGGTCTACTCGTAGATCCAGGGCTGGGAGTGGGAGGTCCAGGTGCAGACGCCCTCGGGGAACCAGAGCGCGATCTCCTTCTCCGCGTTCTCGACGGAGTCGGAGCCGTGGCAGATGTTGCGGCCGACCTGGATGCAGTAGTCGCCGCGGATCGTGCCGGGCTCGGACTGCGACGGCATCGTCGCGCCGAGCATCTTGCGGCCCGTGACGACGGCGCCCTCGCCGGCCCAGACCATGCAGAAGACGGGGCCCGTCATCATGTAGTCGATCATGCCCTTGAAGAAGCCCTTGGACGAGAGGTCCGCGTAGTGCTTCTCCATGTGCTCGCGGGACGGCTGGTAGAGCTTGGCGGCGCAGAGCTTGAAGCCCTTCTGCTCGAAGCGCTTCGTGATGTCGCCGATGAGGCCCCGCTGCACGCCGTCGGGCTTGATCATGATGTAGGTGCGCTCGAGGGTCTTGAACTCGGCCATGGTGGTGCGAGATGCGATTAGGCGATGTTTTGGGATCGAAGCTCAGGACGGCACGGGCCTCAGGCGAGAGCGCCTTCTAAGCCGACGATGCCCTGCAACGATGCCGCCAATCCACGAGCTAGAAACCGATCGGGCTGCGCGGCAGCCATCCTCGTCGCGGTCGCGCCGCGGGCCGCGGCGGCCTCGGCGTGCTTTGGAGGCGGCGTTCCCGCGCCGCCATGGGCGCCCACATGGGCACGATCCGCGACAGCCTCGGCGACGAGATCCTGGCCCACGCGAAGCCCATCACGAAGCTGCAGATGGAGGACGTGCGGCGCATGCACGAGTGCTGGGTGAAGATGGAGTGCAACCCCGGCGTGGACCAGAAGCGCTTCAACAAGATCTTCGTCATGCTCCGGGGCGCGAACCAGCGCAAGCTCTTCGAGCTCTTCGCCAAGGGCCCGCCGGACCGGCGCTTCGCGGACGTCAACGAGGTCTTCGCCGTCGCGCTCATCAACTCGAGCGCCTTCGCCGCGTCGAAGATGCGGGCGCTCTTCGAGCTCTACGACGAGGACTGCTCCGGCGAGCTCAGTCTCCAGGAGGTCGTCATCAGGGCAGCACAAGAGAGCGAAATTCCCAACTTCACAAAGGCTCCTTTCTCGGCCGTTTTCCACTCGTTTCGGCTGATTTTTGGACGAGCGTTCATCTTTCGGAACGGCCTCGAAGCGTGGATGCGGTTTCCGGAACGCGCGCGCGCGGAACACTCACGTTGAAGCGACGTTGAATCACTCTTTTGCTGCCCAGGTCGTCATCATGATCGCGTCGGCCATGCGGGGCATGTCCGCGGCGACGGGCGGCCGCCAGCTCGACATCGAGACCGTGGAGACGATCTGCCACAAGACCTTCGACGTCATCGACGCCGTCGTCAAGGATCGGACCATCACGTCCCACGAGTGGGCCCTCTTCTGCCGCAACGACCTCGCGATGCAGCGCGTTTTGGCGAAATTCTCGCTCGCGGGCAAGCTCCAGGTGTCGCGGAGCGAGGCCAAGGACGGTGGCGACTCGTCGCCGGAGGCGTCGCCGCGGCGGCGCGTCGACTCGGGCCAGGTCGCGCGGCGCAAGTCGACGCTGACGCAGCACCCGGGGCTCATCCGCGAGCTCAAGAAGGAGCTCAAGATGCTCCGCGACGTCTTCGACAGCATCGACGTCGACGGCTCGGGGGATATTCCGTTGGAGGAGTTCATGACGGCCAACGACAAGACGTCCAAGGGCGAGTACGGCGGCGGGTCCAAGTTCGGGCCCTTCCCAGGGCAGCAAAAGAGAGCGAAATTCCCAACTTCAAAGGCTCCTTTCTCGGCCGTTGTCCACTCGTTTCGGCTGATTTTTGGACGAGCGATCGCCTCTCGGAACGGTCTCGAAGCGTGGATGCTTTTTCCGGAACGCGCGCGCGCGGAACACTCACGTTGAAGCGACGTTGAATCACCCTTTTGCTGCCCAGGCCCTTCCAGACGGACCTGTTCATGAAGATGGACGCGGACGGCGACGGCCGCGTGACGTGGCGCGAGCTCATCTCCCTCATGTACCACAAGTACGGCAAGACCGTCATCAAGGAGATGCTCTCCTGGGACGCGTCGGACTGGGAGGACGTCGGCCAGCGGCGGAACAAGATCGGCCACCAGGTCGTCAAGTTCGACCAGTCGCAGGTCGGCGAGATCAAGAACATGTTCTCGCTCTACTCGCCGGCCTACGACGGGACCATCGTCGTCGAGGACCTGGCGTCGGCCATGGCGGACCTCCACGGCCTCGACGAGGAGGATTTGATCGTCATGTTCGAGAACGTGGGCAAGGACCGCCACTCGCGCGTCGACGCGGACACGTACGTCGACATCTTCCAGGAGCTCATCCAGGACGACGACGGCATGTACGAGATCCTCAAGTCGACGTCCGCCGGCGAGCAGCTCGCCGAGCACATGAAGGCGAAGGAGGGCAAGAAGATCGCCAACAAGATCCTCAGCGCGGCGCCCGTGCGCCTCTCCTAGGGCGGTCGGGTCGTTATCGCGAGCTGCCCGGGCCGTTATCGCGGGCTGCCCGGGTCGTTATCGCGAGCTGCCCGGGCCGTTATCGCTCGCGCGCGGTCTTCGCGCTCCGGATGACGGAGCCGAGGTGGACGTCGTAGTCCGTCGCGAGCTGCGCGTAGGCGACCTTGGCCGCCGTGAGCTCCATCTCGAGCTTCTTTGCGTAGAGGTCCCGCTCGCCCAGGAGCTCGTGGCGCACCCGCTCGCGGCGCGTGCCGTCCCGGAGCGCCGCCTCGGCGCGCTCGACGGCGAGCGCCGCGGCCGACGTCGCCGCGGCCGCGCGCGCGTCCGCGATCCGCGCCGCGGATCGGAGCGCGTCGTTGTCGCCGCGCGCGGACGCCAGCTCCTCGGCCTGCCGCTTGAAGAGGTCGCCGATGCGCGCCGCGGCCTGCGCCTTGTCGCTCGCCGGCGCGGCGTCGTCGTTCTCCTTGCCGTCGAGGAGTTTCGCGCGCGCGGCGTCGCGCTCGAGCGTCAGGGACCGGATCGTCGCGCGCGCGGAGAAGACCTCGACGCGCGACGCGTCCCGCTCCGCGACGGCCGCGGCCGCCGTCTCCGCCGCCGCCGCCGCGCGGTCCCGCGCGGCCTCGGCGTCGGCCTCGGCGTCGCTGAGCGCGAGCCGCGCGTCCGCGAGCGCGGCCTCGAGCGAGAGCCGCGCGGCGTGCGCGCCCGCGAGCTCCGCGGCCACGCTCTCGGCCCGCGCGGCGGCGAGCTCCGCCTTGGCGCGCTCCGCGCGCGCGAGCGGCGGCGGCGGCGGCGGCGCGTCCGGCGGCGCGGCGCCGCGGTCCGGCGCGCTCGACGGCTTCTCCGAGGCCGGCGGCTCCGGCGAGCTCGGCTTCTCCGGCGAGCTCGTCGTTTGATTCTTCTCCGGCGAGCTCGTCGCCTGGTCCTGCTTCTCCGGCGACGCCGCCTCTGTTTTGTGATGGGCTGCGAAGAAGTGCGCGTTGTCTCCGTCGTCCGCGTGCTTTTTCTTTTTTGGGTTGCCGTGCGGCTTCGTTTGCTTTGGTACGGCGAACTGGGAATGTGTCCGCGGCCGCGGCTGCCGCGGCACCGTCGGGGCGTGCCCGAAAGACATCGCGACCTCCAAGGGCAGCCCGTTCGAATATTAATGGCTTCACATTGACGTCAACGACTTGGTGTTACCCCGCGGCGGCGGGCGGCTTGTAGTCGCGCACGCCCCGCGCCTCGACGGCGAAGGGCACGGTGACCTCGGGCCCGAAGACGCTCTCGAGGAGCGTCGCCGTGCGCGGCATGCCATCGCCCGCGGGCTCCTTGAGCAGGAGCTTCTGCGCGGCCGCGTTCGCCCACGCGTCGCCGAGCGCGGGCGCGAGGACGTTCTCGCCGGCGTCGAGCTTCGTCGTGAGCTGGTTCGTGACGACGACGGCGACGTCGTACTTCATCGCGACGTTCGCGAGCTCCAGGTGGAGCCTAGCGACGAGGCGGCTCCGGACGCCGACGTGCACGTCCGCGGCCCGGAGGTGCGCCGCGACGCTGTCGATGATCAACAACTTGCAGGCGCCCGACGCGACGAGCGCCTCGGCGCGGATGACGGCGTGGAAGAGGTCGCCGTGGTCCAGCGCGCGGAACACCGCTATATTTTCGAGCACGCCGTCGACGGTGAGCGCGTCCGCGGCGCGCCGCGCGGCGGCGTCGTTTTCATCGTCCCCGTCGCCCTCCCGGGGCCGCTTGCGCCGCGCGAGGCGCTTGACGTGCTTGACCATCTCGCCCGCGAGCCGCGCGACGCGCGACGGCGCGAAGCTTCCGTCGCAGTCGACGAACGCGCAGCCGGAGCCCAAGCCGTGGAATGCCGCGGGGATGGCCGCGTCGACGGCGAGCTGGAAGCAGAGCTGCGTCTTGCCCGTGCCCGGCCCGCCGACGAGCTCGAGCACCCGCCGGGGCACCGCGCCGCCGCCCAGCGCGTCGTCGAGCGCGCGGCAGAACGTCACCGCGGGCACGAAGGTCGCCTCGCGCGCGGCGAGCTCCGCCATGGTGTAGGGCGTCGGCGGCGCCGCCTCGCGCAGCACCTCCGCGAGCAACCGGTCCGCCTCGTCGTCGGAGATTTTCAAATCCGCGGCGAGCTCGAGGAAGCTCACGCCCTCCAAATCGCTCGCGTCGCGGTAGCCGCCGCGGCCCAGCAGCACCTCGTCCTTCGGGCTCAGCGCGCAGGCCACGAACGGGATGCGCGCCGGCTCGTCGCCGTCGCTGCTGTCGGAGGCGTCGTCGTCCATTAGTGTGGGCCTTTAGGCAGGGCCATGCCTACTCTGGAGTCGAGCGGCACCTTCGATTCAATACCAATTCAAGAACGCGACGATGGGCATCGACAAGGCGCCCGCCGGCGGGCCGCCCGTGAACGTGCGGCTGCCCGCCGAGGAGCGCATCGCCGGCATCGCGGAGAGGAAGTCGCACCACGACATGAAAAAGATGCCCGAGGATCCGGTGCTCCAAAAAGTCCTCAAAGGCCTGGAAGAGATGCAAGAGAAGATCAAAGCCGAGGGCGCCACGGAGGCGAACGTCGAGGCCGGGCTGCAGCAGATTGCCAAGGGCGTCGACGCCGTCCTCGAGTCCATGCCCGACGACGACGACGAGGAGACCGCGCCAGCGGCCGCGCCCGCGGCCGCGCCCGCGGCCGCGGCCGCGCCGGTCGCGGAGCGGCTGCAGCAGATTTCCAAGGGCTTCGACGCCGTCCTCGAGTCCATGCCCGACGAGGAGGAGACCGCGGCCGCGCCCGCGCCCGCGCCCGCCCCCGTCGCGGAGCGGCCGCTCGACGACGTGGTCAGCTCGATCAACGGCAACATCGACGCGCTCGTCGGCCAGTACGACAACACGCGCGGAAACGACGTCGACGAGCTGCTGAGCCGCCTCGGGCTCCAGAAGCACAGGGAGGGGCCGACGAAGCCGCCGCCGGATTTCATGGTCCGCGGCTTACCCCCCGTCGAGGACGGCGGCGAGCCGCCGGCGCCCGTGCCCCTCGCGAGCCTCGAACAGGCGAACCTCGTCGCCGCCGAGCCCGCCCTCGCCGTCGGCGCGCGCGTCCGCGTCGCGGGGCTCGTCAAGGCCGCGGACCTCAACGGGTGCCTCGGCGCGGTCGTGGCCCTGCCCAAGCGGGGCGGCGAGCGCTACGGTATCCGCCTCGAGGGCGGCGACGTCGACGGCCGGACGATCGCCTGCCGCGCCGAGAACGTCGTGCTCATGCCGCCGGCCGTGGCGTAACAACTTGCGATCGCGCCGCACGGCATGTTGCACTCGTTGCAGACGATCTTGCCTTCGCTGATAAGAGCTGAGCTAGCGCCTTACGAACGCCTCGCTGCCGCTCGCGTCGTCGTCGTCCGCAACTCGCAGCGCCGCGCCGCACGTACCGCACCCATGGGCCGCGGCGGCCCGGAGATCCCGCTGGAGGCCGACGAGGTCGCCGCGTGGGCGTCGCTGACCGTCGCGAACCCCAAGGGCGAGCCCAGCGCCGAGGAGCGCGAGCAGCTCAAGGCCGCCAAGGCCGCGGAGAAGAAGGGCAAGGACGCCGTGCTCGAGGGCGTCCTGTCGCGCCTCGGCGAGCTCAACAAGACGCTCGCCGAGCCCATCCCCCTCAAGAAGGACAAGCTCAAGAAGGCCCTGGACGCGAAGGCGAAGGAGGCGGCGGCGGCCGCGGAGGAGTCCGCGAGCCGGCCCTTCTGGCTCGACCCGCCGTCGGGCACGCGCGACTTCGAGCCCGGGGACATGCGCGTGCGGAACTGGCTCTTCGGCGCCATGCGCGAGACGGCGCTGGAGTTTGGGTTCAAGGAGTACGACGCGCCCGTGCTCGAGCACGTCGAGCTCTACGAGCGCAAGGCCGGCGAGGAGATCTCGTCGCAGATGTACAACTTCGTCGACAAGGAGGGCGCCCGCGTGACCCTGCGGCCCGAGATGACGCCGTCCCTCGCGCGCATGGTGCTCAACCTCACGAACCTCGCGACGGGCGGGGCAGGACAAGAGAGCGAAATTCCCAACTTCAAAGGCTCCTTTCTCGGCCGTTTTCCACTCGTTTCGGCTGATTTTTGGACGAGCGATCATCTCTTGGAACGGTCTCGAAGCGTGGATGTTTTTTCCGGAACGCGCGCGCGCGGAACACTCACGTTGAAGCGACGTTGAATCACCCTTGTCCTGCCCAGGCGACGGGCGAGGTCCGCGCGACGCTCCCGCTCAAGTGGTTCTCCATCCCGCAGTGCTGGCGCTTCGAGACGACGCAGCGCGGCCGCAAGCGCGAGCACTACCAGTGGAACATGGACATCGTGGGCGAGCGCGGCGTCACGGCCGAGGCCGAGCTGCTCGCGGCCGTCGCGCGGTTCTTCTCGCGGCTGGGCGTGACGTCGGAGATGGTCGGCGTCCGCGTGAACTCGCGCAAGGTCCTGGACGTGGCCATCACCAAGGCCGGCGTGCCCGGCGACAAGTTCGCGCGCGTCTGCGTCGTCATCGACAAGCTCGACAAGATCGGCGCGTGCGCGGTCAAGGAGATGTTAACCGATACGTCCGGCGACGACCCGCTCGCGCTGCCGCCCGCGACGGCGGACGTCATCCTCGCCTGCCTCGAGGCCAAGTCCGTCGCGGATTTGGCCACGACCGTCGGGCTGCCCATGACGGACCCGGCCATCGCGGAGATCGCGCAGCTCTTCGAGCTCGCGGACTCGTACGGCGTCGGCGACTACCTCCAGTTCGACTCGTCCGTCGTCCGGGGGTTGGCCTACTACACGGGCGTCGTCTTCGAGGCCTTCGACCGCAAGGGCGAGCTCCGGGCTATTTGTGGCGGCGGCCGCTACGACAAGCTGCTCGAGCTCTACGGGGGAGAAAAGTGCGACATCCCGTGCGCGGGCTTCGGCTTCGGCGACTGCGTCATCGTCGAGCTGCTCAAGGAGAACGGGCTGCTCCCGAAGCTCGGGCCGTCCGTGGACGTCGTCGTCGCGCCCTTCTCCGCGGCCATGCAGGGCCCCGCGGCGGCCGTCGCGGCGAAATTGCGGTCCGCGGGGCTCACGGTCGACGCGGCGCTGCAGGCCTGCAAGGCGCGCAAGGCCTTCGACCTCGCGAACCGGGCCGGCGCGCGCCTCGTCGCCTTCGTCGCGCCGGACGAGTGGGACGTGGGCAAGGTCCGGGTCAAGGACATGCTCGTCAAGGACCCCGCCTCGGATCCCGCGGACGGCGTCCAGGTCGACGTCGCCGTCGACCACCTCGGGGATCTCGTCGCCGTCCTCGAGGCCGAGGCCCGGGCCAAGGGCGCCGCCTGGGTGCCCGTGGGCCGCTCGTCGTCTTCGGCGTCGCCGGCGCCCGCGAAGCCGCCGGCTGGCGCCGTGCTCGCGGACGGCGGCAACGGCGTCACGCTCAAGGCGACGGCCAAGTTCGCCGCGCTCGCGCTCTAGGACCGTCGGCTGTCATTAAGGCTCGTAGCCGCCCCAGGGCCGGAAGAGCGCCGGGTCCCGGCCGCCGCCCGGCGGCGTGTAGGCCGCGTGGATCGCCGCCGTGTAGGCCGGTAAAAGCTCTCTGCCCGCGAGCGGCGCGTCGTTGATGGAGTAGAGCCAGGCGCGTTTCGACGATTCGCCGACATCAACATCGACCTCGCGCCGCGCGTAGCGGCCCTCGTCGACGCCCTCCAACGCGTCGAGCGCGGCCAGGCCCTCGGGGCCGACGGCGAAGAGCTCTCCGGAGACGCGGCGGCCCTCGCCCGCGCGGTGCACGAGGTACGGGATCTTGTAATGGTCGACGAAGAGCGGGAAGCGCTCCGTCGTCACGCCCTCGGCGACGAAGGCCGCGTCGGGCTGCCGCGCGAGCACGGCGTCGTAGTTGTAGAAGCCGCGTTTTAAAGTGCCGTAGACGAAGACGTTCTGGCGGAGCTTCATGGCGGCGTCGCAGGCGGTCGCGCCGCGCGAACTAGCTGCAGCCGATGGCGTTGCGGCGGCGAGATTGGTGTTGCGGCGCGAGACTAGCAGCGCTCATAACATGATGGCCGCGGCAAAAAGCGATTGTTCAGTAACCACTTACTTGCAGTGTACAAATAGCTTGAGAGGACTCCCTGCTGTTGGGCAGCATCTGAATCGAGAAGTCCCTGGATTTCCCGAGCGCGCGGTAGCGGCGGACCTTGTCCCGGAGCACGCTGAGCGGCGGGAACGGCTGATGGGCGGCGGCGGCCTCGCGCTGCGGGTCGCCGCGACCTGGGCGCTGGCGCGCGCCGGCTTCTCCGACACGGAGCTCGGCGCCGGCGTCCAGGGCCGCGTCCTGGGCGTCGCGGACATGGACGGCGACGGGACGCTCGACGTCGTCACGGCGAGCGCGGACCGCTTCACCGTCGTCTACAACACGGCCGAGGGCTTCGTCGCGACGGACTCGGGCGCGGACGGGAGCGTCGCGGCCGTCGCGGCCCTCGCGCTCGCGGACCTCGACGGCGACGGCGCCGCCGACGTCCTCCTCGCCGCGGGCACGTCCGTCCAGATCTGGCAGTTCGACGGTGACATGACCGCGCCCCTGATCCTCCGCTGGCAGACGAGCGGCAACAGCGGCGCGGGCTGCCTCGACGTCTTGAACTTCAACGGCGACGGTGACCCCGACTTCTTCGCGGGGCGGCCCGAAGAGAACCTGCTCTCGTCGTACCGGCGCCTCGGCGACGACTTCGTCGAAGGCGTCGTCGACAATGACGCCGGCGGCGTCGTGGCCCTCGTCCACGCGGACGTCAACGGCGACGGCGACGTGGACGCGTTCGCGGCCTACGGGGCTCTGAACGCCGTCGCGTACCTCAAGAACGACGGCGCGGGCAACGAGGCGTCCTTCAGCCGCGTCTTGGGCACCGAGGACGGCATGGCTCCCAACGCCATCTTCGGCAACGTCGACGTCGACGGCGACGGCAACCTCGACCTGCTGGTGACGGGCGACGACGGCCGCGTGTATTGGTACGAGAACATCGACCTGCATGAGGGCGGGAACGAAGCCAACCTCCGCGACATCTCGTCGGCGACGGACGGCCCGCGGTCCGTCCAGGGCGTCGACGTGGACGGCGACGGGGACGTGGACGTCTTGGTCGCGTCCTACTTCGACGACGCGGTGACCTGGTTCGAGAACCAAGGCGAGGACGCCGCCGGCACCCTGCAGTTCGCGCAGCACGCCGTCAAGTCCACGTCCTACGCCCGCGGCCTCGTGGAGCAGGTCACGGGCACGTGGGGCGACATCTGCCTCGACGAGACGTCGTTGCTCGGGAGGGACGGCGCGGTCCTCAGCTACGGCGACGGCTCCGGCGGCGACAACTCGGCGAGCGACGCCTTGGACACGTCGGCGGAGTATATCTCCCGCGTGCGGCAGGCGTCCTATAGCGGCTCGTCGCAATGCGACGAGGGGCTCGGCGGCGGCGTGTACTACGAGGTGTCGTCGATCTACGAGACGTCGGTCGTGCGGTATTTCAACTTTGGCGCCGGGGGCCCGGAGGACCCGGCGGCGACGACGGCCGGCGGCCGCGCCACGGATTGGGCCGCGTCGTGGCCCTGCCAGATCGTCGGCCTCGTCGTCGACGGCGACGACGATCCCGCGACGGTCGACACGATCGCCGGCGTCGAGACGAATTGCGACGGCGGGACCTTCCCCATACCCACGGGGACGCTCTACGACGACACGTGCGTCGTCGTCGCCGCGGACCTCGACGGCGACGGCGACGCGGACGTCGTCTCCGCGTCAAGCGCCGACGGAAAGGCGTGGTGGCACGAGTCCGTCGGCGACGCCACGGCCGCGCCGACGGCCGCGTCCTGTGGCTGGGCGGCGAGGGACGAGTGGTCCACGAGCCACACCTCGGGCTGGTTCGTCGCCCGGGTCGACAGCTCGGCCGTGGCGACGGACGTGCCCCTCGGCGTCTTCATCGACGGCGAGCTCTGGGGGCTCTCGGAGACGTCGGAGGCGCTGCCCGACTCAAGCGGCGCCTTCGCCGGGCTGGACTGCTACTCGACGTCGATCTTTAGCGACGGCGCGTCGGCGGGCGCGGACATCACCTATAAGCTCTGCCTCGACGGCGCGGTGCTCGCGGCGGACGCCGTGAGCCTCGACGCGGCGGAGACGCTGACGGACGGCGAGTACGGGTCCACGTCGGATCCCGTGTTCCTCGACTTCCCGTCCCCGACCGCGCCGACGCTCGTCGCGCGCTACGCCTTCGACGGCGGCGACGCGTCCGACGACTCGGGCAACGGCATGACCGGCACGATCCACGGCGCGACGGCGACCGTTGGCTTCGACGGCGGCGGCGCCCTGGCCTTCGACGGCGTCGATGACTACGTGGAGCTGCCCGCGGCCGTGACGGCGACGCTCGGCGCCGGCGCCGCGCGGACCGTGTGCCTCTGGGCGAAGATCGGCGCCTTCGACGGCGGCGGTCTCTTCTCGTACGGCGCGCCCGCCGACGGCCGGGAGTTTAGCCTGCGCACCTACGGCGACGTCGTTCTGCGGGTCCAGTACTACGGCGAGGCGTTCGACGCGGACGTGGCGCTCGCCGGCTCCGACGACGGCGCCTGGCACCACTACTGCCTCGCCTACGACGGCGCGGCCTGGACGCTCTATTACGACGGGTCCCAGGCGCAGACGGCGACGCTGGCGCTGGACACGGACGCGGCCTCCGCGACGTTCAAGCTCGGAGTCTGGTACAACGAGCATCTCTACTTCTCCGGGTCCCTCGACGACGTCTGGATCTACGCGGGCGCCCTCGACGCCGCCGCCGTCTCGAGCCTCTACGAGACGACGCTCGCGCCGACGCTGTCGCCCGCGCCGACGCCGACGCCGCGGCCGACGCGCGTGTCCGAGGCGACGCTCGTCGCGTACTACTCCTTCGACGACGGCACGGCCGCCGACGACGTCACCGGCGGCCTCGCCCTCGACGGGACGATCACCGGCGCGACGGCGACGGCGGGCCCCGGCGGGAGCCGCGCGCTCGCGTTCGACGGCGTCGACGACATCGCAACGTTCCCGGCGGCGGTGACGGCGGACGTCCTCCTCGCCAGCTCGCGGACGTTTTGCCTCTGGGCGACGGTCGACGCCTGGAACGGCGCCGCCCTCTTCTCCTACGGGGCCGCCGACCACTGGGACGACACCACGTACTTCGCCTTCCAAACGTCGCACGAGCCGGGCGAATTCAAGCTGAGCTTCCAGAGCAGCAACGTGGTTCTCTGGGGGTCGGACGACGGCGCCTGGCACCACTACTGCGTCACCTACGACGACGGCTGGCTGAAGCTCTACTTCGACGGCGAATTTTTCGATTCGTCCGTGGCCTACCTGCACACGGGCGACGGGCAGAATTTCATGGTCGGAGGCGCGGGCTCCGACGCGGCCTACTTCGACGGCGCCGTCGACGACCTCTACGTCTACTCGAGCGCGCTCGACGCGGCGTCGATCCAGCACATCTTCGAGCTGACGGGGTTGCCGACGGCATCGCCGACGCTGACGCCGCCGCCGACGCGCGTGTCCCAGTCGACGCTCGTCGGGTACTACTCCTTCGACGACGGCACGGCCGCCGAGGACACTGACAGCAGCCTCAACGGCACCGTTTTTGGCGCGACGGCGACGACGGGCCCCGACGGGAGCGGCGCGCTGTCCTTCGACGGGAGCGAAAGCGCCGCCGCGTTCCCCACGGCGCTGACGTGGGGGCTCCTCGGCATCGCGCACCGGACCGTGTGCCTCTGGGCGACGATCGACGCCTGGAACGGCGCCGCCCTCTTCTGGTACGGGACCCTCTGGTCCGCCTCCGACAACCAGGTGTTTGCGCTGAAGACGTCGTCCCCGGGCTCCGTCGACGTCTATTTCAACGGCGCCGCCGACGCCGGCGACGTCGCGCTCGCCGGGTCCGACGACGGCGCCTGGCACCACTACTGCGTCGCCTACGACGGGGCCTTTTGGTTCCTCTACTTCGACGGCCAGCAGGCCTCTACGGGCGCGGCGGAGCTGAACACGGGCGACGAGTTCGAGCTCCAGGTCGGCGGCCTCTCCAACTGGGGGGTCTATTTCGACGGCGCCGTCGACGACCTCTACGTCTACTCGAGCGCCCTCGACGCGGCGTCGATCCAGCACATCTTCGAGCTGACGGGGACGCCGACGGCCGCGCCGACGCTGACGCCGCCGCCGCCGCCGTCCAACGGCGAACTCTGCGACTGCACGAGCTACGCCAACGGCGCGACGGAGTACGACGCCGTTCTCTGCGTCCCGAACTCGGGCCAGTGCCGCCCGCCGAACGACGGCGACGGCCTCTGTAGCTCGGACGCGCCGGCGTGCGTCCTCAGCGACGCGCCGACGCCTCATCCCACCTCCTTGTTCTCCACGCTCGCGCCGACGCCGGCGTCGCTCTACTACGACTGCCGCCGCATGACCAACACGATCTGCGACGACGACCTGATGGACATGTGCGTCGTCGGTCCGCGGGACTGCGGCGACCTCGACGAGGAGACGTGCTTCTACGAGGACTGCAACCCCTGCGCCGCCGGCGCCGGCGACGCCATGTGCGCCTGCGGCATCCTGTCCGTCTACGGCGACTACACGAACCTGTGCTGCTGGGGGGGCTGCGGCGAATGCGGCGGCCAAGCCTGCGACGAGCGGCCGGGCGGGCCCGACAAGTGCTGCCACAGCAACATCAACTCCAGCGGCGATATCTGCCAGGTGCCGAGCGACACGGCCTGCGCCGTCCCCGACCCGCTCGACGACACCACCATCCGCGTGGCCGTGGCCGCCTGGGCGTGGGGCCCGGAGACCGCCACGGCGACGTACGGCGACATCGGCTCGTGGGACACGAGCATGGTGACGGACTTTTCCGAGCTCTTCTGCGCGTCGGCGGACGACTGCGGCCACACCTACGCGGAGGCGGCCACGTTCGACGAGGACGTGGGGTATTGGGACGTGTCCGCGGCGGTGACCATGAAGTCCATGTTCCGCGGCTGCGAGCACTTCGACCGGGACCTCGGCGGCTGGGACGTGTCGGCCGTGACGGACATGAGCCACATGTTCGCGTCGGCCGGCGCCTTCGACCGGGACCTCGGCTCGTGCCAGCGTTTTTTTAGAGTCTTGACCGGGAAAAATCGACGCGTTCCGTAGGCTGGTGCGGCGTGCCCGTCGACGACACGACGTTCCTGGCCACGGCCTGCGCGGCGACGGCCTGCGGCGCGATGGCGACGTGCCCCGCGGCCTGCGCGAGCGTCTCCTTCGCGGAGCGCGTCGTCACGGACGCGTGCTACGCGGCCTACTCGGTCTTCGCCATCGACGTCGACGGCGACGGCGACGTCGACGTGTCGTCCAGTGTCGCTCCGTCGGTGCCTACGTAGGCGCCTACGAGGCTACGTAGCCTCGGCTCGAGCCTCTGGCGCCTACGTAGGTGCCTACGTAGGCGCCTACGCCTCTGGCGCCTACGTAGGCACCGCTTTTGACGGGCTACGTAGGCGCCTTACGCGCCTACGTAGCCTCGTCCGGAGCCTACGAACCTATGACCTACGCGCCCACGCAGGTGCTGTCGGCGTCCAAGACCGACGACACGGTCGCGTGGCACGAGAACGATGGGTCGGAATCCTTCACGCAGCACGTCGTCACGACGCTCGCGGACTGGGTGGCCCGGGTCTTCGCCGTCGACGTGGACGGCGACGGCGACGTCGACGTGCTCTCGGCGTCCTACGCGGACGACAAGATCGCCTGGTACATGAACGACGGGTCCCAGAACTTCAGGGAGCTCGTCATCGCGAACACCGCGGACGAGGCCTGGGACGTGCACGCGATCGATCTGGACGGCGACGGCGACGTCGACGCGTTGTCGGCGTCCCGCGGCGACGACACCGTCGCCTGGTACGAGAACGACGGGGCCGAGTCTGCTACCGGAGTCGTCGCAACTTTGTTCCTCCATCACTCCGGATCCACAGGTCCTTCACCAAGCACGTCATCACGACGCTCGCGATGGGGGCCCGGTGCGTCTTCGCGCTCGACGTCGACGGCGACGGCGACGCGGACGTGCTGGCCGGGTCCTGGGAGGATGAGACGGTCGCCTGGTACGAGAACATGCACGGAGATGCCGTGTTGTTCTCTTTGCACGTCATCTCGCCGCTCGCGGGGGCCAACGCCGTCTACGCTCTCGATCTCGACGGCGACGGCGACGCGGACGTGCTCTCGGCCTCCCAGGACGACGACACCGTCGCCTGGTACGAGAACGACGGGTTCCAGGCCTTCACGGAGCGCATCATCACGACGCTCGCGGACGGCGCCCGCTCCGTCTACGCCATCGACGTCGACGGCGACGGGGAGATCGACGTGTTGTCGGCGTCGGAGAACGACGACACGGCCGCGTGGTTCGAGAACGACGGGAGCCAGGACTTCACTGAGCACATCATCACGGACCACTCGGACACCATCTTCGAGGTCTTCGCGATCGACGTCGACGGCGACGGCGACGTTGACGCGCTCACGGCGTCCCAGGGCGACCACTTGGTGGCCTGGCACGAGAACGGCTGCGCCGGGCCCGCGCCGACGACCGCGCCGACGATGAGCCCCGCGCCGACAACGAGCCCCGCGCCGACGGCGTTCGGCTCCTGCCTCTGCGGCGCCGGCGCGAGCTTCGACGCGGATCTGCAGGTCCCCAGTTGGGATGCAGGCAGAACGTGCGGCGACGAGCTCGGCTGGGCATGCGGCGAGGACCTCGACGACTGGCCGCAGGGCGGACGCGACTGGATGATATTGCACTGCTGCGCGCCGACGACCTCGACGCCGACCGCCGCGCCGTCCCTGCCGGCGGCGACCGCGGAACCCTCGCCGTCGCCGTCGTCGTCGCCGACGTCCACGATCTACTGCGATCCGACGCTCACGGACCCCGCCCAGTACTGCCCGGACCAGCGCATCTGCCCGGATTGCGGCTCGAATCGGTGCGCCTGTCCGGGCGCGGCGACCGCGGAACCCTCGCCGTCGCCGTCCCTACCGAGGAAGACGGCGGAACCCTCGGCGTCGCAGTCGCCCGCGCCGACGTCGTCGCCGACGTCTTCGCCGACGACGCCTCCGACGCACAGGGCCGAGCCGACGGGAGCGCCGACCGCGACGTCGCCGCCGACGCAAGGGATAGAGCCGACGGGAGCGCCGACCGCGACACCCTGCGACAAGGTTCCCAAATCGGCGCTGTCGGCGCCGCGGCCCTTCGTCTCCTCGGCCGCGTTTCTGCCGACGGGCGCGGAGATCCAGGTCTTTTGGAATGCGAGTACCAGCGTCCTGTGGCCGTGACGATTTTCGAGAGATTTGGGGAAAACAATGAGAAATCGTCAACGTCATGCTTGGTAGGCGAGTACGGACCGCGGCGGCGCCGTCATCGGCGACAGCGTTCCCTGTACCGATCTTTTGGTATTTGACGGTGAAAAAGACGCGATCTGCGTTTGGACGAGCGATGCGTCGCTCCGCGCGGAGGTCAGCCGCGCAGCGTCCTTGGGAACACGATGAAAAGTCGTTACAAACATACGTGGTAGGTCAGCGGCGCGGCTCTCGCGCCCGGTGGGGTTGTTTCTGCGGCGGCGGGCGCCGTCCGGGCGGGCTGCGTGCCCGGCGAGCGCTGCGACTGCTACGCTTACAGCGCGGGCTCCGTAAAGGTCGCGGCGCCCGCGGCCGCGGCTCCACCGGGCGCCGTCGTGACGGGCCCGTCCACCGCCTCCGCATGCGAGGCCCTCGTCCTCCACTCGGACTCTTCGACGGGCTCCGGCGGCCGCGCCTGGGCGTCGATCGCGTGGAACGTGACGTGGGACGACGGCGGCGGTTTCGAGGCGGAGGGCGACGCCCTCGAATTCGCGGCGGACCAGCTCGCGGCGGCGGCGGACAGAGGCGTCCGGCAGCGTCCTGTGGCCGCGAGAGATTTTGGGTGAAAACAATTGAAAATCGTCACGGAGATGCTTGGTAGGTGTGACGAGCTTCTGCGCCACGTTGCATCTGACGAACTTCCTCGGCGCGTCATCGTCTGCCCCGCATTGCGTCGCCCTGCGCGGGGACGCGCCGCCGATTTTGTCCGTCGCCGGGGGGAAAAACGTCGAGCTCTTCCGCAAGGACGCGCTCGCCGTCACCGTGTCCGCGATGGCGTCGGCCTGTGGGGGGCGCAACGGCACGGACCGCGGCGGGAGGAATGGGACGGACCGCGCCGTGGGCTTGGCCTGGATGCTCGCGGGCGCCGACGGGCCCTTGGAGGTTCACTCGTCGTCGTCGGACCCACGGTCCTTCAAGTTGCCCGCTTTTTCCCTCGACGTGGGAACGTACGTGCTCACCGTCACGGCCACGGACATCTTCGACGTGAACGCGTCAGAGGTCGTGAAGCTCACCGTCCCTCGCGCGAAAGTCGTTGCAACAATCGACGGCGGCGCGGCGCGGTCCGCCTCAGCGGCCGAGGATTTGCGCTTGTCTGCGTCGTCGTCGCGCGACGAGGACGTCGAGGGTGTCACGGGCGCCGCCGCGGGGCTCGTCTTCAACTGGACGTGCGGCGACTTTGTTCTGGACGACGCGGAGTCTATCGTGGTGCCGGCGGGTGCTCTTTCGCCCGGAACAGCCTACGACTTCGCCGTGACGGCCAGCGCGCCCGATGGCCGCTCGTCGCGCGCCGAAGCGACGATATTTGTCATCGCGAACGATCCGCCAAGCGTGGCCATCGACGCGTCGTCGGTCGGAACTCGAGTCTCCGTCGGAACTCGAGTCGTGTTGTACGGGTCCATCAACAGCGGCGCTTTGGCCCCCGGGGGCCTCAACTCGACGTGGAGGCTAACGGCGGGAGCGCTCGTTGGCGGCGCCTCCCTCGACGGCGCCGCGCGGACAGACGTCGTGGTGTCCGATTTTGCAGTCGAGCGCGACCACGCGCTGGTGCTACCCGCGGGCGTCCTCGTCGGCGGCTCGTCGTACGTGCTGACGCTCTCCGCGACGCTCGAGGGGCGCGCGCCGGGCTCCGCGAGTGTCAGCTTCTTTGCCGCAGAGACGCCGACTTCCGGCGACGTCTCCGTCGAGCCCACCGCCGGAGTTGCTCTGATGACGAAATTTGCGGTACGAGCCTTTGGCTGGGTCTCGGGCGATCCGCCGTTACGGTACGGCTTTTCCCACGTGACGGCCGACGAAACAACGACTGTGCTGCGCGTCGCGACCCTAATGACGTCCCTCGTCGACGTCGTCCTCCCCGCGGGCGACGACGCGGCGATCGAAGTGACAGCAATCGACGCGCTCGGCGGCGAGGCCCTCGCGTCGACGACCGTCGACGTCGCGACGGCGTCCGCCGACGAGGCCTACGACGCGGCGGCGGAGCAGCTCGACGTTGCCGCGGCCTTCTCTAATGCGGAGGCGACCTGCCAGACAGTAGTCGCCGCGGCGCGCAAGAGCTCTGGCGAGCTCTCGCGGCTTCTCGTGGACGCGGTCGCGGGCGTCGCCGCAAAGATAGACAGCGACCCGCCGCTCGTCGAGCAGGCCGCTGCAGCCGTCCGCGCCATCGACCTCGCGGCGCTGGACGCCGACGCGGCGGAGACGGCGCTCGACGCGACAAGGCAGCTGGCTGACGCGTCTGTGGCCGTCGGCGTGACGGATGCCGCCGCCGCGTCCGTCGTCGAGGCGCTCTCGAGCCTCCTCGAGTCGCCGCTCTTCACGGGGGACGTCGGCGAGCCGACGGCCGCGCCGACGAGGGCGCCGACGTCCCGCGCGCCGACTCGGACGACTGCGAAGCCCGCGCCGACCGCGGCGTCGCCAACGGCACCGCCGACGACGAAGCCCGCTCCCACACCCGCCGCGCTACCGTTTCGACCAACACCTGCGCCGAGCCTCCGCTCGCCGGAGCCGAGCCTCCGCTCGCCGGAGCCGAGCCTCCGCTCACCGCAGCCGACGAGGCCCGCAACGACACTATCACCACTGCAGCCGACGCCCGCGCCCTTTGTTCCCCCGAAGCAGCCGTCCAACCCGGCGCCGACGAGCGAGCCGACGTGGTCCAGAGGCGGCGGGTCCGGCGGGTCCATCAGCGGCGGCGGCGGCACGATCAGCGGCGGCGGCGGAGACGCAAACCGGCGCCGGCTCGCCAGCGCGTCGCGGTCCACCATCGTCACGGCGACGGAAAGCGTCGCGCGCGCGCAGCTTGTGGGCGCCGTCCCCGGCGAGTATTCGTCGACAGTCTCATCGCGGCGCGTCCGGGTCGGCAGTCGCCGCGTCTCCGCGAACGCGACGTCGACGTCCGCGACCGTGGCGGTCGGGTCCGCGGGCGCGTCCGCGACTGGCTCGGCCTCCGACGTCGACGTCGCGCTGGCCCAGATCGACGCGCCGGGCGACGACAACGCCACGGACGCGGCCTACGTCGCCGTCTGGGACGTCGACGAGATGGCGACGCCCGCGCCGTCGACGGCACCGAGAGGCTCATCCGCGGCGAGGACGGTCTCCGTCGATATCTCGTTGAACGCGTCCGTCGAAGCTCCGGAGACGTGGAACGCGACCTGTCCCTGCGGTTTTGAAGGGACGCTGAACAGAACGTGCGCGATTACTGGGGATGTGCTTTTCGCGAATTGCGGCGGCACGGAGGAAACCGTGATTCTAACTTGCCCGGGCACGCGTGGCACCTGCACGGCCGACGGTGCGGTCTGCCAGGAGAGCTACGAAGGAGTCTGTGCCTGCGAATTCGCCCTCGGCGCCGGCGCCGACGTCTCTGTGTCCATTGACGCTGTCGCTTCCTTGGTCGCGTACCTCTTCGGCGTTACCCGCCAGATCCCCACGGTCACACTCGCACCGCACTAGGTACGTGGAAACGTTAGCCGCGCCAATCGACGTCCAACGCGCGCGCGTCGTGATCTACGCACTCGGCCTCCTCGCCGCGGCTTGTGTGTTCGCGGCGTTCTTGTCCGACGTCGTGGACCGCTACGCGAAGAAGGACGAGCCTACAATCACGGTGGCGCCCGGCGCGGACGCGCGCGCGCCGCCGCCGGGACGCCGCGCGCGCAGGTCGCAGGCCTCGACGTGGACCAGCTCTCGTACGTCCGAGTCCCCCCCCGCGTCCAAGAGCCCGACGCGGCGCGCGACCGCCCCTCGGCGTCGCAGGGTATGAAGCACTCGAGCCTCTTCGAGCGGCACCACAGATTCAGCACGCTCTGGAGGGTGCTCAAGAAGAACCACACGCTGCTGAACATCGTGTTCGTCCGGGGCGAGGTCGTGACGCGGCGCGCGCGCATTTTCAAGCTCGGCGCAGAGCAGCGTCCTGCGGCCGTGACAACTTTCGAGAGATTTTGACCGGGAAACGACGAAAAATCGTCACCGACGTCTTGGTAGGCGCCGAGCTCCTCTTTTTCGCCGCGGGCGTCGCGTTGGGCGACTCTCTCGCTTATCCGGACCCGGGCTGCGAGGACGAGCGAAGCGAGAGCGGCTGCTTGAAATTCGCAAACGGCGGCCTCGGGACGCGGCGCGCCTGCTCCTTCGACGCCTGCTCCGGGTCCGGCGCTGCGTCGAATACGCGCAAATTCAAGTCAGATTGAAGATTTGAACCGCACAGGTCCTGCGAGTATCGGGAGCCGGGACCGGACGCGCTGGCATCCGCCGAAGGCATATTGTGCCTCGCGTGCGCGTTGGCCCTCATGCTGCCCATGGTTTCCGTGTTCCAGTGGCTCTTCGACCAGTACCTCGTCGCGCCGCTTCCATATCGGCTTCGCAGCGCTAAGAAGGGCAACGCGACGACGCCGAAGGGCAGAACGCTGCGACTGGATTTATCTGGTGGCTTCGACTCCGCAACGCTCGCGCGACGAGTGAAGACGCCCCACGCGGCGCTCTTTGATTCGGGCCAGAAGGTCGGCGCGGGCTCGGCGGAAGGTCGGCTGCGGAGGCGGCGGAGCTCGCTCGCGCGCGTGATCCAAGGCGCGTCCAAGGCTCAACTCGAACTCAACCTCGACGACGAGGCGGACAGGATTGGGCCAAAAGTCGCCGACTGTGTGGAAATCAAATCTTCAACCCGACTTCAATGTGCCCGTAATTGAACGGTTTGGACCAGAATCTTTAACCGTGCTTCGAGAACTGAACGAGAGCAATCGATTCGTCCAAAAATCAGCCGAATCGACTTCGATTTGACCGAGCTAGAGAGTTCTGAAGTTTGGTGGGGACCCCCCAAACCAGTGGTTGATTTCCACGCAGGTCGCCGACGCGGTCACGCGGCGCGTCGCGGAGCTCAGCGAGGCGCTGGAGCGCGCCTCGGAGGCCCGGGACGCGTCCAAAGTCCGTGGGCTCGCGCGGCTGCGCGCGGCCACCAAGGAGCGGTGGCGCTGGGACGTCGACGAGGAGCGGTTCAAGGCCAACGTCGCCGAGCTCTGCCGAGAGCAGCTGGCCATCGCCGCGGACTACGACGCGGAGCTGCGCAAGCTGCAGGCGAAGACCAGGCCGGAGACGGTAGCTTTGCGGGCCGCGCGGCTCTACGAGCTCGAGCGCGTGTCCCACTTCTCGACCGTCGAGCGGCTCATCTACGAGCACGCGGTGCGCGGCAACGTCGACGACGACGAGGCGCGGAAGTCGACGCCGGCGCTCTGGTCGTACGTCGCGGCGTGGCTCTGCGTCGTCGCGAGCGTCGCGGCCTCGGCGCTCTACCTCCTCTCCTTCGGGAGTTCGCTCGGCGTCCGTGCGTCGCGGCTCTGGCTTTTGGAGCTCCTGTACACGTGCTACATTGATTCCAGTGTTGTGATGTTGTGGCTTGTTCAGGGCAGTCTGAACACGACTTAGGTTTCTCCTCATCTACGGCGTGATCGAGACGCTCTACATCATGGCGTTCGACGTCCTCTTGCCGGGGCTGCTGAAGGAGCACTACGAGAAGTTCCACGATCCGACGTCGCTTCCTGTGTGGAAATCAAATCTTCAACCCGACTTCAATGTGCGCGTAATCGAACAATTTGGACCAGACTCTTTCGCTGTGCTTCGAGGACTCGATGAGAGCAATCGATTCGTCCAAAAATCAGCCAAATCGACTTCGATATGACCGAGATAGAGAGTTTGGTGGGGACCCCCCAAACCAGTGGTTGATTTCCACACAGGTCCCTCCGGGAATACCCGTTCGCGACGCCCCTCCCGACGATCTCGACGTTCTACCTCGCGCTCTGGCACGGCGACGAGCTCGGCGGGACGCAGGTCGGGGCCCACTGCCTCGGCACGGCGGCGCCGGCGACGAAGAAGGCCGCGGATCTGGACGGAATTCTCGAAGACGCGTCGTGGCGGCCGTCGCCACCGGGGCCGACGCCGGGTGATTCGACGTCGCTTCGACGCGAATGTTCCGCGCGCGTTCGTCCCACCATCGATGCTTCGAGGACTCTTCGAGAGATGATCGCTCGTCATGATATCAGCCAAAACGAGTGGAAAACGGACGAGATAGGAGCCTTTGAAGTTGGGAATCGCGCGGACGGCCCTGGGCCTCGTCGCGGGCCTCGCCGACGCGTTGGAGGCCGGGGGCCTCGGCGAGGGCGTGACGGCGTCGCCGGAGGCGACCGCGGCCATCTTCTCCGCGCTCCTGGGGTCCGCGCTTACCCTTTTGCCGCCCAGGTCGCTGCCCTTCCGCGTGCCCATCTACCTCGCGTCCTTCTTCATCGTCCTGCCTTCCGAGGTCCAGCAGGCGCTCTTCGAGGAGTGCGTGCTCTTCTTCTGGGCCTGCGTCGCGACGGCGGTCGGCTACGTGCCTCTGCTCGTCGGCGAGGGCGACGGCTCCCCGGAGCTGCGGCTGCTGGCCGTCTTCGCCGCCGTCGTCGCCGCGGCCATCTTATTGCGGATGCTCTTCAACGCGGGCCTGGCGCTGGCGACGCGCCTGCTGGAGGGCGAGACGCGCGCGGACTTCGCCGCGAGGGAGAGGGTGCTCGAGGACGCGCCGGCGATGGTGTCGAACCCCATGTCGAACCGGCGGGCCAAGGCCGACATCGAGCTCACGGACCTCGAGGCCTCGGGGCCGGACCGCGACATGGCGGGGCCCGCGGAGCGCGCGGAGCGCCAGAAGTCCGCGCTCCAGGCGTCCCGGTCCTCCGTGGACGCCGTCGCCCTGCGCCTCGGCCAGCGGCGCCACAAGGTCCGCAACTCGACCTTTGCGCGGAAGATCTAAGGGTGTCACAAAACCTTAGAAGGGGAACTGCTGCTGCGGCGGCGGATACTGCTGCTGCTGCGGCGGCGGGTGCTGCTGCATCTGCTGCGGAAAACCCGGCTGCGGCATCTGCGGCATGCCCGGCTGCGGCATGCCCGGCTGCGGCATCTGCGGCATGCCCGGCTGCGGCATCTGCGGCATGCCCGGCTGCGGCATGCCCGGCTGCTGCATCTGCTGCATGCCCGGCTGCGGCATTCGCTGCTGCTGCATCTGCTGCATGCCCGGCTGCGGCATCTGCTGCTGCGGCATCTGCTGCATGCCCGGCTGCGGCATCTGCTGCATGCCCGGCTGCGGCATCTGCTGAGGCATGAAACCCGGTTGCTGCATTTGCGGCGGCCGCTGCTGCTGCTGCTGCGGCGGCGCGAAGCCCGGCTGCGGCGGGAACGGTTGCCGCTGCTGCTGCTGCGCGAACTGCGGCTGCTGCGCCGGCGGGAACTGCGGCTGCGCCGGCGGGAACTGTTGCCGCGCCGGCGGGAACGCGCCCATGGCGCCGCCCGGCGCGCCCATCGCGCCGTTCATCGCGCCGCCCGGCGCGCCCATCGCGCCCCCGCCGCCCAATGCGCCGCCGCCGCCCTGGCGCTGCTGCAACTGGAAGAGCTGCTGCTGCTGGGCCGCGATGGTCTGCTGCATCGCGAGTTGCTGCTTCAACTGCTCGAGCTCGCCCCGCTGCTGCGCGAGCTGGCGCTGGACGGCCTGCTGCTCGTCGGTCGGGAGCAGGCCGCCGTCGGGCATGGCCTGCGGGGCCTCCACGGGCGCGGCGTCGAAGTCGAGGAGGTCGACGAGGCCGGCCGGCGCCGCCGGCGGCGGCGCGTCGCCGGCGCCGAAGCCGTGGCGCGCGGACGGCGCCGCGGCCTGCGCGGCCAGCGCGACGGCGTCGTCGCCGGCGACGTAGCCCGGGATCTCGGCCAGGGAGTGGCCCGCGCCGATGACGATCTGGGCGCCGCCCTGGCCGTGGCGGAGGTCCGGGCCGTCGCGGTGCGCGTGCGTCGCCGCTTCGGCTCGCAAGCTCCGGATGCGGTCGACGTCGCCGAGCACGCTCGCGAGCTCCGCGGCCCGCCGCCGCACGTCGCCGCCCTCGTCGCGGCCGCCGCGCTGGAAGCCGTACTTGCCGCACGTCGCGGAGTTGTACTTCTCCAAGGCCCCGACGGCGTCCTTCAATCGCCACGCGCGGTCGACGACGTGCTCCGCGCCGTTGATCACGAGGTAGCGGACCGTGGCGATGGCCTTGGCGAGGAGCTTCGCGTTGGGCGTCGGCTCGAGGCACTTCTCGACGACGTCGAAGATGTCCGAGCTCCGCCGCCGGTCGCTCGTGTGCTGCGCCAAGGCGCGGAGGTCGATGGGCGACGGCTCCGGCTTGCCGTCGTGGAGGAGCTTCTCGCAGAGGGCGACCCACTCGTCCTTGCGCTCGAGGAACCGCGAGACCATCTCGAGGTGTCACGATTGTCACGGCGAGCTTAACTTGCCGCGGCGCGCATCGGCCGCCGGCACGGCGAGTCGGCGCGACGACGCTTCGCGCCCGGTTCGCGGGCGACGCCTCCGTACGCCGCGCCGCGGGCTTCCAAGCAAAACCCGAAACAACCAAGCACACAAAGAAAAAACACAGGGGGTGAGTATACAGGGCCGCTCAGTTGGCGGCGAGGGCCGGCGGCGGCGCGTCCGCGCCGGCGTCGCCGGCGGCGTCCGCGTCGGGCGCCTCGGCGGTCGTCGCCGGCGCGGTGGGCGTGCGGTCGGCGGAGGCGAAGTCGGCGAGCATGCGCGCGCGGCGCCGCGCGTCGCCCCGGCGGCGGTCGCGCGTGCGCGGCGCGGCCCGGTCGAAGGACGACCGGCGCAGCGTCGTGTTCGTCGGCGTCCGCCGCCGCTTCCGGGGCGCGGAGTCGCCCGACGGCCGCCGGGGCCGCGGCGCGTGCGCCGCCGGGGCGGGCGGTGGCGCCGGGGCCGCGGCGAGCGGCTCGGGCGGCGCGCCGGGCGGGAGCCACGACGTCGCGTCCAAGGAATCCAGCGCGCGCGCGAGGTCGCTGGACTGGGACCGCCGGATGGCGCCCCGCCGCGCCTCCGCGAGCACCTCGATCTCGACCTCCTCGTCCTCGTCGTCGGACTCGCCCTCGCCGGACGTCGAGCCCCCGTCGCCCCCGTCCGACGACGGCCGCTCCGGGGCCAGGGAGAAGCCCAGGATGCTCTCCTCGAAGGACGCCTGGGGCCGCTCCTCGGGCAGGTCCCCCCCGAGGGCCGCGTAGGCCCGCTTCGCGCTCTGGGCGAGCTGGATCATGCCCCCCTACGAGCTCAAGTCCCAGTTCGCGTCCGACGGCAAGAGATCTACGATCGGGCTGCCGGCACAAGTCCCGGCTCGCGGATCGTCCCGATCGAGCACACCGGCTACCGGGGCGCGCCTCGGCGGACGAGGAGGACCCCACCGGAGCGTTCCGACCGGTTGATGCCGGGGCTGCCGGTCGGCTGAAAGAAGAGTTTGTCTCAATTCGATTACATCACCCTCATCCTAGTATAGAGGTAAACTATTGCTCTGCGATATCGGCTTAATCTTGGAGAGTCACCCAATACGCGGGGCAGCATGGCTGTCTACGAGCCCATCCCCGGCGGGGAGGCGCCGGCCGTGCGACGAAAGCGCCGCATCGTCAAGGCCACCGTGGGCCTCGCCGCCGTGCTCGTCGTCGCGGCCAACGTCGGGCGCCACTACCTGTCGCTGGGCCGCGACCTCGAGCTCGAGGCGTCCGTCATCGCGTCGACCAAGGTCGTCTACGGGGACATGGAGGCGGCGAAGGTGCGCGACCTCTACGAGCAGTTCAAGCGGCGCGAGCGGCGCGACTTCGACGACGCCGAGGACGCGCGGCGCTTCGCCATCTTCCGGCGGAACCTGGCGACGATCGACACGCTGAACGCGGCGAACCCGGCCGCGGTCTTCGGCATCACGTCCTTCTGCGACCGCACGGACGAGGAGCGCCAGTCCGTGAAGATGCAGACGGAGTTCAGCGACTACGCGTCCCTCAAGCGGTCGCTCGCGCGGCGGTCCGCGGCGCACGCGCGCCTCGTCGACGACGTCGAGTCGAAGACGGCGGCCGACGTCGTCGAGCTCTGGAGCGCCGGCGGGTCCGGCGCGCTGCAGAACGGCACGGACCGCCCCTTCGACCTCATCAACGGCACGCAGCCCGGCGACAAGCATCTCTACAACTACTCGGGCGGCATGCCGACGTGGCAGTGGCAGCACGGCTTCGTGAACGGCTCGGGCGACCCGGCCTACTTCAACGCCACGCAGGGCGAGGTCGCCTGGGTCTCGGCGTCGGACTGCGCGGCCTGCGACCGCTTCCCGCATTTCGGGGACTACGACATGGGCAACCTGCCGGACGACTTCGACTGGCGCGCGCTCGGCGCGGTCACGGCCGTCAAGAACCAGAAGTACTGCGGCTCCTGCTGGTCCTTCTCGTCGGCCGGCGACATCGAGGGCACCATGTTTTTGGCGGGGGACGATTTGATTTCCCTGAGCACGCAGCAGCTCGTGTCGTGCAACACGTACAACTACGGCTGCGACGGCGGCTGGCCCTTCGCCGCGATGGAGTACGTGTCCCACTTCGGCGGTTTGGTGCCCATGGACGACTACCCCTACAAGGGCATCTGCATGGACAACATGTGCGGCGGGACCGAGATCTTCACGGGCACGCCGACCTGCGACAAGGAGCTCCTCAACGGCCACCTCGCGGCCGGCGACGTCGCGGCCATCGAGGGCTACCAGTTCGTCGCCATGGGCGCGGAGTACGAGGACCTCATGCACGTCGCCCTCGTGAAGAACGGGCCCCTGTCCCTGGCCTTCAACGCCAACGGCATGGAGTTCTACGTCCACGGCGTCGTCGGCTGCACGGAGCAGATGTGCGAGGCGGGCGGCGTGGACCACCACTTCCCCTGCGACCCGACGGCCCTCGACCACGCCGTCTTGCTCGTGGGCTACGGCACGGAGGTGCGGGACGTCACGGACGCCAACGGCATGCCCACGGGCGAGACCTTCGACGTGCCCTACTGGCTCATCAAGAACTCCTGGGACACCGAGTGGGGCGAGGGCGGCTACTACCGCCTCGTCCGCGGCGTCAACGCCTGCGGCGTCGCCAACATGGTCGTCCACTCCGTCCACAAAAAGAACTAGTCGCCTCGTCTTTCCTCTAACGTCGCTCGCTTGAGTCGCGCGGGTCCGGCGCCGGCGGCTCCGCGGCGGTCTCGCCGTCGTCGTGGACCGCGGTCGCCTTGAGGTCCGCGTACTCGGGCGCGCGCCGCAGGCCGAGGTACGAGAGGGTCGTCATGACGGCCAAGACCGCCGCGAGGTACGCGGCGCAGCGGCGCTCGCCGTAGCCCGCGTAGTCCAAAAAGTCCAGATACAAGTCGCCCGTCGGGCAGCAGGCGCCGGCGAGGACGGGCCGGTCGCAGGAAAATTCCACCCCCGTGAGCTGGACGGTGAGCATGCCGTTCAGCGCCCAGCGCTGGGGGGAGACGAGCGCGAGCCACTTCATGGAACGTGGAATGGTATGAATGTTGATGAAATACCCAGCCGGGAGGATGCAGAAGAAGAGCGACTGGTTCGTCCAGAAGTCCCGGGCCTGGTTCTCGACGCCGGGGATGCAGAGCGTCGCGAGGCCGAAGGCGTAGCACGCGGACACCGCGCCCAAATAGAACGCGAGGATCCGGCCGAAGGCCGCCGGGTCGCGGCCCGCGCCCGTGCCGACGTAGGCCACGACGAGGAGCAGGGTCGGTTGAATACAAACCTTGGCGTTGCCGACGAGCAGCCGCGTCGCCGCGAGCGCCGCCGTCGCGTACATGCCGCGCTCCTGCTCGACGAGCGCCTCCGTGGCCGTCGCGACCTGGCACCCGATGGAGCAGGCCTTGGCCGTCTGCGTCGCGAGGCAAAAGTAGAGCAGCCCCGTCACGTTCCGGAGGCCCCGCTGGTCGCGCTCCATGGCGCTCCAGACCATGCAGGCGTAGCCCGCGGCGACGAGCGTGAACGTCACGTCCACGAAAAAGAAGCGCGGGTCGCGGAATTCGGACCTCGTCGCGCGGACGACGAGGAGCCCGCACTGCGTGGCGAAGCGCGCGCGCGCGTCGCCGTCGTCGGCCGCGCGCCGTGGGCTCGGCGGCGCGGCGCCGCCGGCCGGGGCCGCGACGCGCGGCGCGCGGCGCGCCCAGGTTTCGGCGTAGCCCGCGAGCCGCGCCTCGCCCGCGCGCGTCGCGGCGTCGCTCGAGCCGTCGAGCGTCAGCGCGTCGAGGAAGAAGTCCGTCGGCGAGTCGCGCTCGCCGCACGTCGCGCCGAGGTGCGTCCCGAAGTAGTCGACGGCGCGACCCGCGGGCCCCGCGTAGACGACGCGGCCCTCCGCGAGGAGGTGCAGCCCGTCGAGGAGCGCGAAGATGGAGCTCCGCGGCTGGTGCAGCGTCGCGTAGACCGCGCAGCCGCCCTCGGACGCGAGCGTCCGCAGCGTCGCGACGACGACGAGCGCCTGCGCGGCGTCGAGGCCCGTCGTCGGCTCGTCGACGAGCAGGACCTTGAGGTCCCGCTGGAAGAGGTACTTCCCGACGGCGACGCGCTTCCGCTCGCCGCCCGAGACGCCGCGGACGCGGGTGCCGTCGCCGACGAGCGACGCGCCGACGGACGTCAGGTTGAGCTCCCGGAGCACGCGCGACGTCGCCTTCCTCGCCCCGCGCTCCGAGACGGCGCCCCGCAGCGCGAGCGACGCCGAGAGGTGGAGCGTCTCGCGCACCGTCAAATAAGGGAACAAAAAGCAGTCCTGGCGCACGTAGGCCCGCAGCGCCGCGAAGGCGGCCCGCGCGGCGCGCGTGTCGACGCGCGCGCCGTCGACGGAGACGGCCCCGCTGAGCCGCGCGTCGGGACCCGCGGGCACCAGCCCGCGAGCGCGTTCAGCAGGCTCGATTTCCCGGAGCCGCTGGGCCCCATGAGCGCGACGAGCGCGCCCCGGGGCACCGTCGCCGTCGCGCGGTCGACGACGCGCCGCCGCCCGCCGGCCGCGGCGATGGAGAGCGTGAGCCCCTCGAAGGCGACGGTCGCGCCGCCGCGGTAGCGGCTCACGGCGCCGCCGCCGGGCGACGGGGGCGCGCGGCCCAGGAGCGGCGCCTCGAGGTCGTTCGCTTCGTCGCCGCGATCGCCGCCGCGCCGCGCGGGAGCCGGCCGGAGCGGCACCCGGCTTTGGACGTTCGCCGCGAGCACCCGCAGCGCGAGCGCCTGGCCCGCGGCCGCCATGAGCAGTAGGATGCCGACGGCCCGCGCCGCCGGGAGCCGCTCGTAGCCCGCGGTGTCGAGGACGTAGCGCTGGTCCGGCCGCGGGAACTCGAGCGTGACGAGCGCCTCGATGGCCCACTTCGTCGGCGACAGCGCCGCGAGTTCCCGCGTCCAGGCCGGCATCGAGGTCAGACAACAATAGACTCCCGACACCAACGTGAAAAAGGTCGCAAACTGCAGCGTGATCTGCCGCATGTCGGCCTCGTGGATGTCCGAACACGCGAAGACGAAGCCCACGGCCCCGACGGCCCAGTTCAAGCTCGCGACGACCGCGAGCTCCGCGCAGAAGCGTCCGACGTCGCGCGTGCCCTGGGCCCAGTAGAGCGTCGCGAGGAACACGCAGGGGCACCAAAAAGTGATTGGAATTTCCCCTAAAAATTTCGCGACGACGAACGCGCCCAGGTCGTAGCGGCCGAGCTCCGACCGGACGACGGGCTTCTCCTTGGCGAAGAAGAGCGCGACCTGCATGAGCCCAAAGTAGGTCAACAGCATGCCCATGTAGGAGAAGGTGCCGAGCTTGTCGACGTTCCTCCGCACCGCGCCGAGGCCGCCGCCGCCGTCGCGCTCGTCGGACCGCATCGCGACGAGGATCAGCGCCGGGAGCAGGTGCGTCGACGTCACGGCGACGACGACGACGGTCTGCCGCGAGAAGCCGACGAGCGTGCGATGCGCGAGCCAGCGCACCTGGACGAGCCAGCGCGCGCGCGGCCGCGGGGCCCGCTTCGACGGCGGCGGCCGCGCCGCGCGCCGCGGCGCGTCCGCGCCGCCGCGCGCCGCCCAGGCTCGTTGGCAGGCGTCGGCGCGCGCGCGGCTCCCCTCGCCGCCGTCGTCGACGGCCAGCACGTCGAGCAGGAAGTCCATGGCGTTGAAGCGCGGCGGCACCGCGTGGCCGAGCGCCGCGAACCACGGCTCCGCGGCCGCGAAGGGCCCCGAGTAGACGACGCGGCCGCGGCTCAGGAGCTGGAGCTCGTCGAGGAGCAGGCAGATCTCCGCGCGGGGCTGGTGCACGCTCAGGAGCACGGCGACGCGCGACTCCCGCGCGAGGCCGCTCAGGGACCGCGCGACGGAGAGGGCCTGGTACGCGTCGAGCGAGGACGTCGGCTCGTCCAGGAGCACGACGCCGCCGCGCGACGCGATCAACTCGCAGCCGATGGACAGCCGGCGCCGCTCGCCGCCGGAGACGCCGCGGAGCAGCGGCTCCGAGGGGTCGCCGACGCGCGTCTCCGCGACCTTGGCGAGCCCGAGGCGCCGCAGCGTCGCCTCGGCGACGCGGTCCGGGTCCTCGCCGCGGCGCGTGAGCGCGGCGCAGAGCGTCAGGGTCTCCCGCACCGTGAAGAGCGGGAAGAGCGCGTCCTCCTGGCCGACGACGGCGCAGCGCCGCCGCGCGCCCGCGGGCTCGCCGTCGACGCGGACGGCGCCGGACAGCTCCGCGGGCACCCGCGACCGCAGCGTGCCGGCGAGCGCGTGGATCAGCGTCGTCTTCCCGCTCCCGCTGGGGCCCATCAAGGCCGTCGTCTGCGCCGCGGCGGCGCGGCCGGAGACGGCGTCGAGGATGACCCTCCGCGGCCCGCGCCGCGGCCGCAGCACGAACGTGATGCGCTCGTACTCCAGCGACGACGACGCCATCGCGTCGTGCATGCTCGCGATCGCTTCCGACGACGAAGCCGTCGCTTCGTGCATGCTCGCGATCGCTTCCACCTCGTGCATGCCGAAGGCAGCCCAAAGGTGGGGTGCTTTCTTGTTGTCACAATGTCATGCGACAAGGGCTGCCCGAACTGCGATTCAATATCGATTTGTGGAATGCAACTTGAAAAGTTAACAAACTCATCGACCGACGAAAATTGATGCTAGGAGGTAAACGCTCGGTCTCGAGTCGGTGCTCGGGCTGCCGCACTGCCGCGCCGCCGCGCCGCCGCGCCGCCGCGCCGCGCACGCCGATGTCGCTCGTCGTCAGCGGCGAGCTGTCGGATTCGTCGTCTTCCGACGATGAATCGGAATGGGAGCTGAGCACGGTCACCTCCAGACAGGAGCTCGGCACCGTCGCATCGAAACCGAGCGTGCGTTCCGCGGCGACGGCGGCGACGGATAACAACACGCTCCACTGGCCCTACGACACGCTCGTGCGCAACGAAAAGAAGGCCGTCGGCCTCACGGAGCGCCTCGCGAGGCACGCGGCGCTCCTCGGCTACGACGACGCGGCGACGCGGCTCCGCGTCGACGAGAGAGAACGGAAGGAGCGGGAGCGGCGCGAGCAGCGGCAGCGCGAGGCCCGGCGCGACTTCGAGATCGCCAAGCTCAAGCTCGCGGCGGCGGCCGCCAAGGCAGGGCAGCGACGCTGCGACGTCCGCGCGGCCGCCGCGGGCGACGCGGATTTGTGCAGCTTCGACTCGACGGCGACGAACACGTCGCGGTCCACGGGCGTCGTGCGCGTCGGCGCGCGGAGCGCGAAGCAGCGCAGCTCGGCGACGGCCGTCACCGTGTCGTCGAGCGGCTCGAGCCGCGCGTCGTCGCGGTCGCGGAGCTCGGCGTCGACCCGCGCGTCGTCCGGCGGCGACTGGTTCGTGGCCTCCGCGGGGCCCTACGAGGACCCGCGGGACGTGCGGAGCGCGGCGCGGGCCGGCGACAAGTCGAAATTCCTACATGGCGACTTCCGCTCCGCCTCGGGGAAGCGGAGCGCCATGCCGACGCGCGCGCCGGGCGGCGTCTCGCGCGCGGGGCCCTATCACCCAAAGCCAACCCACTCCACTCGGACGGGCCTGGCCGCGCCGCCGCGGCCGACGGCGAGCTTCTCCAAAATCGCCGACGCGACGAAGCGGCCCAAGGGCGGCGCCGCCTGGATGTCCATCCCCGACCGGACCGTCCCCCGCGCGCGGCGCAAGAGCGCGCCCGAGGTCGCTTAGAAAGCTGTGAGGGCACGCCCGATGTTGTAGCGTCATGTCCAGCGCTCGTCGAGTATTGAGTGGTGAGAGTTAGGACGACCCTCGGGGGGGCGATAGGCGGCGAACGGCGAGCGCGGTCGCGCGCCCTAGACCCACTCGCGGGGGTTCTTGAAGCAGTCCATGATCTCCGCCTCCTTGGAGTCCGGCTCGACCTTGAAGTCGTACTCCCAGCGCGCCGTCTCCGGCAGCGACATGAGGATGGACTCGATGCGGCCGCCCGTCTTGAGCCCGAAGACCGTGCCGCGGTCGTAGACGAGGTTGAACTCGACGTAGCGGCCCCGGCGCATGAGCTGCCACTCCTTCTCCTTCTCCGTGAAGGGCGAGTCCTTGCGCTTGGCGACGACGGGCAGGTACGCCTCCGTCACCGCGTTGACGCACTCCTCGGAGAACGCGAAATGCGTGTCCGGGTCCTTGTTGTTCTGGTCGTCGAAGAAGATGCCGCCGAGGCCCCGCGTCTCGCCGCGGTGCTTGATGACGAAGTACTCGTCGGCCCACTTCTTGAACTTGGCGTAGTACTCGGGGTCGTGCTTGTCGCAGATCTCCTTGTACGTGCCGTGGAAGTGCTTCATGTCCTCCTCGAAGAGGTAGGCCGGCGTGATGTCCGTGCCGCCGCCGAACCACCAGACGCCGCCGTCGGTCTCGAAGTAGCGGTAGTTGAAGTGCATCGTCGGCGCCATCGGGTTCCGCGGGTGCATGACGCTGCTCAGGCCGCACGCGAAGAACGGCACGCGCTCGCCGGGCTTCATGCCCGCCGCGCGGTCCACGCCGCGCTCGGTAGCGCTCGCGAGCGCCTCCTGGGGCATGGACCCGTAGACGACGCTCAGGGACACGCCGGCCTTCTCGAAGACCTTGCCGCCGCTCATGACGCGCGAGATGCCGCCGCCGCCGTTCTCCCGCTCCCAGACGTCCTGCTTGAACGTGCCCTCGCCGTCGAGCTCCTCGACGGCCGACGTGATCTTGTTCTGGGCCGCGCGCAGCATGACCTCGAACTTCCGTCGCATGCTATCGTTGCCGTCGAGGCCCTTGCACAGCGTCTCCGGCGGCGCGTCGATGGCGACGTGGTCGTCCCACGTCGGCGCGGGCGCCGTCGCCGTCGCCGAGAGCTTCGTGGCCGGGCGCGACAGCGCGCTGGCGCTGGCGGCGAGCAGTGCGAGCTTGTACATCGTCGGGGGTGGCGAAGACGGAGCCGATCTCGTCGATGTGCTACAGCAACCACGATCGAGACACCGCATCGTGTCCTAACTAGGATAGCCTAGCAGTACACGATGGTCCATCGTGAAATGCTATCATCTCGAAGATGACGGCAGCCCTTCGGCTGTGCTTAATAGTAGCACTCGCCGCCGCAAAACCGCTGTCGTTCTGCGACAGCCTCGGCTACCTCGCCGTAAACGCCACCCATCGCCGCCTGGGCGCCGGGGGCCGGGGCCAGCAGCACGCGCTGCCGGAGAGCCGCGGGCGCAGCAAGCCCGAGCGGCTGCCGCCGACGCCCGGCGGCCTGCCGCGGTCGTCGGTGCCGGCGCACGAGGCGCGGCTGGCGGCGCTGGAGGCGCGGCGCGGCGGCAAGACGCCAAGGGAGCCGAAGGCGGGCTGGTGGGAGACGACCGCCGAAAGCGCGAGCGCGAATCCGGCGGAGCACGAGCAGGCCCGCGACGCGCGGTCGCAGCCTAAAGTGCGAGCCCCGAAGCACGCGCCGCTGCCGAAGGCGAAGCCGGCGACGGGCAAGCACCGATCGGGCGGCGCCCGAGAACGCTGGCACGGCGCCAAGGCGTCGGCGCCGCGCGGCTGGTGGGAGACGTCGAGGCGCTACGGGGCGCAGCGAAAGGAATCGTACGAGCTCCTGCGCTTCCTGGACCCGTCGATGGTCGACGCGGACGCGGCGCGGTACCGCGACGAGCGCGGCGACGACGAACGCCGCGACGAGCCGCGGCGGCGGCTCGCCGGGCCGCGGGGGTCGTCGGCGGCGGACGAGAAGCGCAGCATCCCCCACCAGCGCCAGCTCGCCAAACAACGGGAGGTCGCCGCGCACTGCCCGTCCGAAAAGGGCCCGGGCGTCGGCCGGGGCTGCCTCGCGTTTTTCGTGCACGTCGCCAAGTGCGGCGGCACGTCCTTCTCCGCGCGTCGTTCCTCGGCGTCGATGCATTTCTGACCTTTCCGACGCACGCCCGCCCAGGTATGGCCGAGGTCTTCGGCGAGGCGCGGCACGCGCCGCCCGGCGGTTCCGCGAAGCACGGCGTCGCGGCCCGCGGCGGCGCGCCGGTCGTCGACGGCGTCGCCTACGCGTGGCTCGAGGGCACGGCGGAGAAGCGGGGCCGCCCGCGCGTCGACGACCGCGTCGCCGCGGCGACCTTCGTCTCCGCGGAGCGCGACGCGACGTGGCGTCCGGGCGGGCGCCTCGCGACGTCGACGCTGCTGCTGCTCCGGCGGCCGACCTGCCGCGCGGAGAGCCACTTCTTCCACCACCGCGACCTGAAGAAGCGCATCTCGAAGCGCTTCGCGACGCTCGACGACTTCCTGGGCGCGTGCTGCGGGGGCGGACCGAAACCGCCGGACTGCGCGGTCCCGTCCCGGCCCGCGGAGACCGTCGACTGCCGCCAGTTCCGCAACTTCCAGACCTTCATGGTCCTCGGCCGCGGCCGCGCCGACGGCGAGTGGACGCAGACCGTGCCCATGGACGCCGCGGCGCCGACCTGCGACGCCTCGGGAACGGAGGCCGGCGTCGCCGCGGCCGCGGCGGCCGCGGTCGACGCCCTCGACTTCGTGGGCCTCACGGAGCACCTCCACACGTCGCTCTGCCTCTTCTACTTCACCTACGACCTCACGGCGCCCTTCCACCGGGACTGCCGCGGCAGCTCGAAGGCGCCGGTCTACAACAGCCGCGCCGGCGCGCGCGCCGACGCGTGCCCGGGCCGCGGCACGCGCGTCGCCGAGGGCAACGAGCTCGACGCGCGGCTCTACGACCACGCCGCGGCCCTCTTCTGGGCCCGCGTCGCCGCCATGGGCCGCGCGACGGGCTACGAGCACGTAACTTGACGCGGTGCTTGAAGTCGTCTACGACCACGCCGCAAGCCTCTTCTGGGCCCGCGTCGCCGCCATGGGCCGCGCGACGGGCTACGAGCACGTAACTTGACGCGGTGCTTGAAGCCGTCGAGCAGCGAGGCAGCGACGATGCTCTCCCTGTCTCTCGCGGGCGCCGCAGCGCTGCGCCGCAATGCGCGCAACTTCGGCCGGCGCACGGGCGCGCGCGCGCACCTGCCGAAGCTGCGGCTCAACAAGAAAAAAGCGAAGTCCGCGCCGCCGCCGCAGAACCCCCGGCCGCGGCGCCGCGAGGCGCTCCCGCCGCCCGACGAGCAGGAGGACCCGGCGGCGGCCCTGGCGCGGCTCGAGGCGCTCTTCGACGTCGACGACGACCACGACGTCGCCGAAGCGCCGCGCGGGCCCGCGTCGCTCCAGGAGAAGCTGGACGTCCTCGCGAGGCCGCCGTCCGCGCCGTCGCACGACGCGGCCGCGGACCGCCGCGACGCCTACGCGGCCGCGCGGCGGCTCTGGCGGTCCGCAAACACCGACACACAAACACCCGGCGCCTGGGCGGCGCTCGCGCTCGTCGCCGCGCGGGCCCGCGAGGCCGACGACGCCGTCGCGATCGTCGACGCCATGGCCGCGGCGCACCCCGGCGCGTTCGAGGCCGCGAGCGACGACGCGGCGAACGCGCTGACGGCCGTCGTGCGGGGCTACTCCCTGGAGAAGCGCAGCGCCGCGGCCTGGGCGTCCTTCGACGCCGCCGTCGCCGCGGGCTACTACGACCCGTCTCCCCCCGCGGAGGCCTTCGACGCCGTTCTGCACTGTTGCGCGCACCAGCAGCTCCCCGAGCGCGCGCTCAACGTCGTCGACGACATGCGGCGGAACGGCGTGCCGCGCACGGGCGCGACCTACGCGGCGCTCATGAAGGCCGTTGCCACGGCCCCCCAGTGGCACCGCGCGTACCGCCTCGCGACGGACGACGTGTTGGACGCGATGGAGGGCGACCGCGTCGCGCCGACGCCGGCGCTCTACGTGCACCTCATCGGCGCCTGCGGCCGCGTCGGCGACGCGGCGGCGGCGGGGTGCTACTTCGACGAGATGCGCGACGCGCACGGCTTCTCCCGGGGCGCATCGGCGTACGCGGCGTACTTTGGGGCGTTGGCGAACGCGATGACCGTGGGCACGAAGCGGGGCGTCAAGGCGCGGGCGCCCCACGTCGACCCCTGGCGCGGCCTGGGCATTTCGGATGAAGAGGCGACGAGCGTCCAGGAGGCGGACCCCGCGGCGTTCGCCGCGGCCGACGATCTGGGCGCGGGCTTTCACCGGAAGCGCGACGAGCCCGCCGGGGCCGTGGTCACCGTCGCCGAGGAGGATGAGGAGGAGGACGACCGCGCGGGCGTCGAGGCGACGCTGGCGGCGCTGGAGGGCGACGTCGACGACGCGACGCTCGCGGCGCTGCGCGCGGCGAGCGTCGACGACGACGACGACGAGGAGCTCTCGCGGGAGGACCTCGACGCGTTCCTCGCGGGCCTCGCGGACGAGGACCTCTCCGACGACGACAAGGAGCTCCTCGCGGCGAGCCTGGGCGGCGCCGAGGCGGACCTCGACGCGCTCCTCGCGCCCGAAGACGAGCTCACGGAGGCGGACCTGTTCGCGCTGCTCGAGGGGCCCGGCGACGCGACGGCGGCCGAGGCGGCGGTGATGCCGCCCGCGATGGCGGCGTCGTCCTCTCCCGAGACCGCCGTGGCCTTCGCGCCGAAGCCGCCGACGCCCGCGGCGGCGCGCGACCGGGGCCTCGTGACGCGATTGCGCGAGATGGACCTCGAGGACCTGAGCGTCAAGGTCACGGCGCCCGAGCTCCACGCGCGGCGCGAGCGCATCATCGCCGACGCTGAAAAAACCTTCGCCGCCATGGACGCGGAGCCGGACGCGGCGGCGCTCAACGCGTACCTGTCGATTTTCACGCGCGGCGAGCGCCGCGCGCGCGCGCGGCGCGTCGCCGCGGCGCTCGGCGAGGCCTACGGCGACCGCTTCCCCGACGCGCGGTCCGAGCGGGTCGTCATGGCCATGCTCGCGGCGCGCGGCGACCTCGGCGCGTGCCGGGAAGCGCTGGACAACGCGTCGCCGGCGGCGCGCGGGGACGTCGAGCTCCTGGGGTCGGCGCTCGACGCGTTTTCTCGAAAAGGCGATCTCGACGGCGCCTACGGTCTGGCCGTGGAGCTGGCGGCGGCCCACGCGGCGCGCGGCGCGCGCGGGGTCGGCGCGTCGGACGCGGTTCCGGTCGTTCCTTCGGTGCTCCGCGAGGCCTTCGACCTCGTCGACTTCGCGCCCGCGCGGAAGCGGCGCGGGCCGCCGGAGCGGTTCCTGCGCAACTTCCGCCGGCTCTGCCGCCAGCGGCGCGTGGACCAGCCGCCCGAGCTGCCGCCGGACCCGGTCCTCTGGCGCCAGGAGGGGTCGACCTTCCGCCGATCGCGGCGGGGCCAGCGCGACGTGCCCCAGAAGCGCAACCTGCTGCGGGCCGGCCGGCGCTAAGGCTTTGCTTATTGCGTGGGCCCCTAGTAGCCTACTGATTCAGTAACTGAAGCTTCGTCGTCCGAGCTCTCGTCGCTGAACTTGGGGTCCTCGCCCTTCCGGTAAACCTTCCAGCGCACGCCATAAAATTTGTCCCAGAAGCCGCCCGAGGTCTCATTCACCTCTGCGTTCCAGATGTGATCGTGATCCTCATCGTGATACGCTGCTACGAGATCATTCATAACAGTGCGAACGTCATCGCGGGACAGAATCGTTGTTCCAATGAATTCCTTGATGAGCGCGAACGGTCCATCTGCATGCGTGTGACGCTCATACGCTTTCAGAACTAGCTGCGCTTCGAGCTTGCGCTGCCGATGAGACTCGATGAGTTTCAATGCATGATCAAATTTGAAGTTGTCGAACAGGCGCTGCAGCGGCCACGGCATACGCCACTGAGTCCATTTCTGTAGCGTTTTTTCCCACGTGTCAGATTCATACACAATCCAGAGGTCATTCTCACCGTAATGATTAATAATCAAATCGCAACGTGTGCAGATCTCACACACGTGCTGCCGCAGATATTGATACAGATCGGTCGCGGGTACGCGCATCCCGTTCTGATCCACGACCCAAAGAGATCTGACCTCCCAAATGTTTTCGTCCCACGCATTGCCCTTGGTCTGACATATGAGAATCGGCAGAGTTGTATTCGCGCCTGGCGTCACGAACGATCGCCGCTTGACCAGTAGGTCGGCGTCCTTGAGTTTCCGCTCCCAGTTTTCTTCCGGAGTCTCTTCCTGAGTCTGAGATCGCTCGATAAGCACCTGAGCGAGAGATCGCAAATACTCAATGTGGTCCTCGGGCCCGGCCGATTCGGCGTCGCTCATTGTTGGTGCGGGCAGACGCCGTGAAACACGGCAGCGCCGACCCGCCCTCAACTTGAGGCTCAAGGGCCTCGCTTGTGCCAGTGGCAAAAAATATGAGCAGTAGCCGCCCTACGTCGTCGTGCCCTCTTCGTCGCCGTGCTCGCGTACGCCTCCGCCCTAGTCGTGTCCTCCCGTGACGCTTCCCTACGCCCCCCTTCGCTGTTCTCTCCCCCTTCGGTTCTTCCCTGCGCCGCGGCTAAGCAAAAAATATGCCTGGGCCTGGAGCCGTTCAGGTGTCCGCTCCGGTCCTCCCGCCCTCAGGTCCTCCCCGGATGCAGCGCTGTGGCTAGTGGGCGTCTATTTATTTCGGCGCCGGGTACTTCTCCGTGACGTAGCTCTCGAACGCGGCGCAGGCCTCGAGGAAGCTCGAGCCGGCCGTGTCCGCGAGGACCGCGTCGCCGTCGACGATGCGCACGCGCATGTCCAGGTCCACGTCCGTCGACGCGGCGGACGCGGCGGCGACGGCGGCGTCGTAGGCCGCCTTCTCGGACGCGAGGAGCTCGTCGAGGGGCACGCCGAGCGCCGCGACCCACGCGTCGCCGGACAGCGGCGCGCCCGTGCACTGCTCCACGAGGTCGAGGAAGGGCTCCGTGTTGCCGGGCCTCCAGAACGCGTCCGTCAGCGTCGGGCCGATCTTCGGGTTGTCGACGAGGAACCCGTCGCGCTTCTCGACGAAGGCGCGCGTCTGGTGGACGGCCATCTCGGCCAACACGTAGCCGTGGTAGTAGCACGACGCCTCGTCGCTCAGCAGGTGGGGCACGGAGAGCAGGGGCCGGGGCCCGAGGCCGCCCTCGATGTCCTCCTCGACGGCGTCGGCCAGCGCGGCGACGCTCGCGGCCGTGAGGTCCTCGTCGGCCATCTCATAGAGCGCCTTCTCGAAGTAGGGCACGGAGAGCATGCTCCGCAGCGCCAGCACCTTGTAGGGGTGCGTCGCCGTCAGGTCCTCCTCGAGGAGCGCCCAGGGCACGACGTCGCCGCCGCGCGACTTCGCGTAGGTACCGCGCCACGCCGCGTCGCCGACCAGGCTGTCGAGGAACATGGACTGGAGCTCCGCGTAGGGCACGGACGTGGGGGCCCTTTCCTGGCTGAACAGGGGGGACCGCACGTCCGTGTTCGCGAAGTGGGCCGCGTGGCCCGCCTCGTGCATCAAAGTGACGAGCCCCGTCATGCCCGAGCCCACCGCGGAGGGATCCGCCAGGGACGTGAAGTGGGTCACGGCCGGCTGCCAGGACCCGTCGGACCGCCGCCAGGCCGGCTGGGGCCAGTGGCAGAAGCCGTTGCTGTACTTGCCCTTGCGATCGAGCAGGTCCAGGTCCATGCTCGCGCCTTTGTACGTAATTTTCATGGCCGCGAAGGACCGGCCCCAGACCTCGACGGCCTTCTCGAAGGGGAAGTAGGGGTCCAGTTTCCGCGTGATGTCGCCGGCCATGGCGAACCCGCGATTCCAGGGCTCGAGCGCGTCCGCGCCCTTGTCCGCCGCGAGCGTCTCCCGCGCGGCCTCCATGATCGGGCGCGAGGCCCTCTCGAGCTCGTCGAGCATGCCGAAGAGCTGGGCCTTGCCGAAGCCCTCGGCCTGCGTGACCTTGTAGTCGTAGTAGTCGACGTAGCCCAGCGCCTTCGCCATGGCGTTCCTTTTTTTCACCAACTCGACGAAGCCGTGCTCGACGACGAAGCTCCCGATGGACCGCAGGCCGTCGTAGCAGGCCTTGCGCGCGGTCTCGTCGCCGTCGACGCGCATGCGGCTCCGCAGGGCGACGGACGAGAGCTCCTCGAAGGCGCCGTCGAAGGTCGCGCCGAGCGTCATGGAGTTGCGCGCGGACTCCAGCGCGCCCTCCGTCTCCGTCGCCGACGCGCGCAGCGCCTTCGCCTCCTCCGACTCCATGATGTAGCACCCGAAGGCCCGCGTCATCAGTTCCAAGGTCTTTTTCTCCTCGGCGTCGTCCGTCGCCGCGAGCAGCGCCCGCGCGGTCTCGAGCTTCGCCTCGTCGCCGAGGAACGCCTCCATGGCCTGCTTCGTCTTCGTGAGCTCGGCGACGCTGTACGCGCGCTTCGGGCCGCTGAGCGGCTCGTGGTCCGTGGACAGCGCCATCTTCGTGCCCCAGAACTGGGCCTCGAAGTCCGTGTGGAGCGCCTCGTACTGCGCGTTCACGTCGTCGATGAAGTGCTGCGCCGTCGCGGTCGAGGACAGCGCGCCGCCGCGCACGCGCGGCAGCACGCGCGCGCCGCGCTTGAACGCCACGGCCGCGGGCAGGAGGAAGAGATTACGCATCATACCAGCAGTGAATCGAGGCCAATGACTGCGCCCAGACTGTGGACCAGCAGTGAATCGAGGCCAATGGGTGCTCCCAGACTCGGATGCGCTGGCACCAAGCTTCATCATAGCTGCATCCTTTGAGTTGAATACATGTTGCCCGCCAATAATAACGCCCATACTAGTGGGCCGCGGCGTCGCAGAGGAGCGCCCCGCGGGTGTAGGGGCTGCCGAGGAGGGCCGTGGCGCCGTAGAGGGCGCCGGAGGAGACCTGGGAGAGGCCCTGGGTGCCGTCGGTGACGACGACGTCCGTGAAGGTCCAGCGCGGGTCGCCCGTGTCGCGGACGCCGTAGGCGCGCTTGAGCGTGTCGTTGGCCGGCGGCTTGCCCCGGCTCGCGACCAACAACGTGCCCGGCACGGCCACGAAGTCGGCCGTCTTCTCCTTGGCCGCCACGGCCTTGAGGATGGGCAGCGTGCCCATGGCTAAATCCCCGTTCGGCAGCACCATGGGGTTGTCCACGGCGTGGGGCACGCCGATGGTGTCCGCGTGGCGCAGCGTGCCGTCGGCGCGCCGCGCGTAGACATACACCCCGAAGGCCAGCGGGTCCGCGACGTAAATGGTCTGGCGATCCTCGGACGCGGCCATGCCGTTCGCGCCGACGTGCCGCTTGCCGACGGCGGCGCACGCCGTCGCGCCGTCGCCGAAGGTGCAGCGGTAGACCCGCGTCGTCGGCAGCTTGAACATGTTCGCAAAGAAGAGGGCGTAGCCCGCGAACGTCTCCTCCCACGTCGCCGGGTTCAGGCGGCCCGTCGCGGGGATCGGCGCGAACTCGGGCAGCCACCGCGTCACGTAGATCTCGTTCTCGTCCACGCCCTCGACGACGTCGTTGGGGCAGCCGTGGCAGGCGAGGAGCGGGTGCGTCACGGACCGGACCCACCGCGCGCCCGCCAGCATCCCGCGCCTCTCGACGCCCTCGAAGATCTCGACGCGCGAGCCCGCGCCGCCGCCGGGGTGGGACGTCACGTAGATGCGCTGCTTCGAGATGAAGAGGCCGTGGGGCTGGAAGCGCAGCCCCTCCGGGAAGTTCGTGATCTCCAGCGCCGTCGCGCGCGGCGCGGCCGCCGCGAGGTCCGCGACGTACAGTCGCCCCGCCTCGGCCGCCGCGACGCCGCCCGATTTGAACACGTGGCCGAGGTCGCCGGCGGTGACGACGACCTGGCCGTCGCGCCAGAAGTGGAGGTCCTCGCTCCCGGCGAAGGCGTCGCTCCCGGGGAGCGACCCGCAGCTCGGCGTGTTCGCCGGGTACTCGAGGAAGAGGCCCACGTCGCGCAGCGTCACCATGGTCCAGCACGACAGGAGCGGACACATGATGGCGAAGCGCAGCTTCTTCCACTCGGGCGCATCGTAGGCGACCATGTTCAGCGGCCGACGAGGCGGATGGCTGCCTCGAGAGAGCGGGGCAGTTTTTTGCGACGTCGACTACTTGGGTTGTTGACTTCTTCAAGATAGAAGGTGAAGAAATGTCACAAAAAGTTTACGCTTGTGTCCCGTGGCGACACGGGACACGGGGCGCCCCCCCTAGACGACGTCGCCCTCGCCGCGCCGCGCCTTGAGGGCGTCCTGGCGCGAGAGGAGGACCATGGCCGCCGTCGACGTGAGCGCGCCGACCATGAGCACGGGCGCGAAGGCGGACCAGCCGAGCGCGTCGACGACGACGCCGACGAGCAGCGCCGCCGCCCCCGAGCCCGCGTACTGCGACGCGTTCATGACGCCCGACGCCGTCGCCATGAGCTCCGGCGCGACGTAGTCGCCCGCGGCCGCGCCCATGAGCAGCGTCAGCGCGCCGAAGAGGACGACGCTCAGCGCCGCGACGGCCGCGATGGCGAAGGGGAGGCCCAGGGACGCCACGGGCCCGAAGGCGCCGAGGATGGCGACCTGGGCCGCGCAGTAGGCCAGCGCCACGGGCCCGCGCCTCGACCGGAAGCATTTGTCGGACACGTAGCCCCCGAGCAGCGAGCCGACCATGCCCATGAGCGAGATGGCGAAGGCCGCGACCGTGTAGGCCTCGCCGCCCTTGGCGACGCCGCTCCGCGCCGCGAGGTAGTCCGCGAACCAGGACAGGAACCCCTCGCGGACCCAGCCGACGCCGAAGAGCCCGAGCGACGCGAGGCGCACGCGGGGCACGGCGCACACGGCCGCGACGCCCGCGCGGAACGCGGCCACGTCGAAGCGGGCCGCGCCGCCCGTCGCCAGACACTGGCACGTGCCGCTCGCCTCCACCGGCGGCGGCTCGTCGCCGCCCGCGGCCGCGGCCACGAGCTCGACGCCGTCCGCCGACGCCCCCGCGAGCGCCGCCGGCGGGTCGTCCTCCACGAAGAGGCCCACGGCGACGAAGGCGCCCGCCAACAAGCCCGCGGGCGTCAGAAAGACGACGTAGAACGGCGCGGCGCGGTAGACCCAGCCGCCGACGACGAGCGCAAAGAAGTAGCCGATGGAGATCATGACCCCAAAAATCCCGCTGAAGACGCCCCGCTCGACCTTCGTGTACCACGTCGAGTTAATCTTGACGACGCTCAGGCTGCCCAGCGTGTTGCAGCTCATGTTCGCCGCGTGGAAGACGCCGAGCGCGACGAGCGACGTCGCCGGCGGCACGTGCTCCGCCGTCCGCAGGCCGAAGAGCGACAGCCCCGCGAGCGCGCAGCAGGCGCCGCAGCCCAAGGTGCCGACGCGGAGGCCCGCCTTGCCGCCGCAGCCGTCGAGCGCGTGGCCGTTCACCAGCTGGAACGTCGCGTAGCTCCAGAAGCCCAGGAGCAGGACGATGCCGTAGCCGCCCTTGGACACGCCCAGGAGGCCGCGCACGCGCTCCGTGTTGATCACGACGACGGAGTAGCGCGCCATGTAGAGGAAGACGTAGGCGACGCCGATGGCGAGCCAGTTGCGCTGGCGCCGCACCTGGTAGGCCTTCGTCCGCGCCAGCGGGTTGTGCAGCCGGTCCACGGCGACGGCCACGACCACGGCGAGGACCATGCAGCCCGACAGCGCCACCTGCAGGGCGACGGCCGTCGTCATCGTCCTTCGGGATGCCCGGGCGATGTCGTTCGTGAGTCGGGGCTGCTACCACTCAAGTAGGTACTTTCTGCAAGGTGACGTTCACCATGCCCTTCTCGACGCGACCATGATGACATGGCTCGCGCTTCTCGGCTTCCTGCTGGCCGACGCGCTCGCGCCTGCCCGCATCATCCGTTCGAGTACTAGCAACAGACACCGCGTCCTCCGCAGCGGCGCCGGCGGCGACGACGACGCCATCGCGGACCTGCTGCGGCGGGCCGCGGCGCTGCGCGAGGACGGCGCGCCCCCCGGCGGCGCGCCGGCGCCGCCCGAGCGCACGGAGGCGGAGATCATGGACGACCGCCGGCGGCGCGCGGAGGCGCTGGCGGCGGAGCTCTCCGGCGACGACGTCGGCGACAAGGTCAGCGGCGACGACGCGGCGCGGCGCGCGGTGCCGCGGGCGGACCGGCCCGCGAGCGACCCGTCGACGTGGCCCAAGTTCGGCGCGGCGAAGAAGCCGCCCGCCGCGCCCTTCGGCGGCGCGCTCGGCGGCGGCGCGCTCGACAACGTCGCGGGCGCTCCAGGCGCGGAGCTCACGGCGGCCGACATGGAGGACCCGGAGCTCCGGGCGCTCGTGAAGCGGCAGATGGTCAACGCCTTCGACAACTACCCGCCGCAGGAGGTCGAGGCCATGTTCGCGCGGCTCTGGGCCGCGGGGCCCATCAAGAGCGTGCGCAAACTCGTCGAGGCCGCGCGCGACGCCGACGCCGTCGAAACCGCGTACTTTGAAGGCGCCGTCTCCGACGAGCGCGCGGGCGACGAGATCCGCGTCTGCCGGTCGCGGCTGCGCATGTACGGCAAGGACGCCGAGTTCCTGCCCAACGCCGACGGGAGCCCCGGCGCGCGGGACATGTGGGGCGACCTCGACGACTGGATCCCCTGGCGCTGGAAGCCCGAGGCGCCGTCGTAAAAACTTGTGACCCTCATCGCACGATGGACGGCCCGAGGCGCCGTCGTCATAGTAATACCGCAGTGCCATCGTAAAAACCCCTTATCGCACGATGGACGGCATCTGTTGCATGAAGAGCTCCATCATCTGGGGGTCCCGCATGGCCTCGGCGAGGCTCTCCTCGACGGAGACGCGGCCGCTCTTGACGGAGGCCGCGAGGCGCTCGAGCTTCTGGCCCGCGTTGCGCTCGTGCGTGACGTCTCCGTCCGTCGCGGCGACGCGCCAGCCGAGGGAGACGCTCGGCGACCGCGCGTGGACCTCGTGGAGCCAGTTCGACGGCAGGAACAGCGCGTCCCCGGGGCCGAGGTCCGCGACGCGCCGGTCGCCGAGGTCCGGCCACGCCGCGGCCGCCGCCGCGCCGTGGAGCGACGCCCGCGACTGCCTTTCCCAGTTGTCGACGCCCGGCCGCCGGGGCGACCGGAGGTAGCACGCGTCCGCGGCCTCGGGCGGGAAGAGCCAGACGCGCTTCGACCCCAGGACCTGCGCGAGGACGCCGTCGGCGAGGTCGTAGTGGAGCGGCGTCAGCGTCCCCGCCGCGCCGATCCACGCGACGCCGCCGCCGCCGCGGACGTCGCCGTCCTCGAGGAACGGCGGCCGCGACGCGCGCGCGAGGCCCGCGAGCGCCGGCGCCTCCAGGGGCCAGCGCTTGCCGTAGACGTAGACCTTCTCGTAGGCGCAGAGCAGGGGCTCGCGGCCTTCGCCCGCGACGCGCGCGGCGACGTCGGCGAGCGACAGGGAGAACTCGGCCATGCCGTCGACGGCGCTCGCGTGCGCCTCGCCGGGCCGCGCGTAGTCCGGGACGACGCCCGACGCCGTCGCGAGCACGCCGCCGGACACGCCGTCGACGCGCAGCGCGCCCCAGGACCAGCCCGCGGTCGCCGCCGCGTTTTTCGCGACGAACGGCTCGCCGCGCGCCGCGAAACCGAGGAAGTCCCCGCGCGTCGCCGCGTCGACGACGCGCACGCGCGTCTCGCGCGCCTCGAAGGCGACGTCGCGCGGCGGCGGCACGCGCCAGGCGCCGAGCTCGACGGCCTTTTTCGCGAAGAACGCGTACTCGGCGTCCGTCGCGGCGGCGGCGGCGGCGGCGGCGACGGCGGCGACGGCGGCGACGGGGCGGCCGAGCTTGTGCTCCGCGACGGCGAGCCGGAAGAGCGCCTTGGCGCGCCGCGGGCTCCGCGCGAGCGCGGCGCGCGCGTCGGCGCGCGACGCCTCGAAGTCGCCGAGCGCGTGGTAGGCGTTGGACCGGTTCGTCAGGCACGCCGCGGCGTCGTCGCCGCGTTCGAGCGCTTCCGTGTACAGTCGCACGGCCTCGCCAAAGTCCTTTCTTTTGAAGGCCTCGTTGCCAGCCCTGCGCGGATCCTCGCGCGTGTGCTGGTCGGGCAATGTGGGCGCGGCCATTGCGCCTCGGGGCTGCTCTTGCCCTCCGCACGGTGAAATTCACTAATCCGCCGATCCAATTGGACATTTTCGCGTCGCACCAGCCTCGTCTCGACGGGCTGCCCGGTCGTCATGGAGGCGGCGGGCTTGCTGTCGCCCGGGGGCCGATCGCGGGAGCCGGCGATCCGCGGGCTCATGGCGACGGACGCGCCGCGGCAGCGCGAGGTCGTGTCGACGAAGCGCCGATGGTACGAGCAGCCGAGCTCCATCATGGTGGCGACCATCGCGGCGATCATGGTCTTCGGGGCCGTGATCGGCAGCGACGGCGAGAACCTGCTCTCCGGCGCGCCGGCCGGCGGGAGGGCGCCGGAGCGCCTCGCCGTGGGCACGGCCTGGAAGGGCAACGGGACGACGCGGACGATCACGATGGAGGAGATGCTCGAGGTCGACTCCGTGCGGACGTGGCTCGACAACATCGGCGTCGTCTGGGACGACCTCGACGACCGCGAGAAGATGAAGTTCCTGCCGAGCCGCATGACGGTCTACGTGGACCTGGAGGGCATCGAGGACGGAGGCACGGGCGCGTCGGGCGGCTACGTCGCGTTCAACGTCGCGAACAACCAGGGCTCCAACGCGTCGAAATACTTTAGCTCCTTTCTGATCGTGATGGACTACGCCTCCGGCGACATCGAGCTCATGCTGCCGACCTTCGACGCCCAGTCCTACCCGGGGCTGGCGGGCGGCGACATGAACACGACGTTCTGCGCGCTCAAGTTCAAGGACCCGGACACGATGCTGCTGGGCGGGAACATCCAGCAGACGGAGTACGGCGGCTCCTATACGTTGCGCTGGCAGGACAAGGACCTCGACTTCGAGATGCTCCCCGGCGGCAAGCGCACGAGCCACAACTGCCACGACATCCAGTGGTCCTTCGACAAGAAGTCCTACTGGATCCCCGCGGGCGGCGGCCTGGGCAACTCCATCAACGCCATGGACGCGGCGACGGGCGAGCGCGTCGAGGACATCGGCTTCTTCGACATCACGCAGGACATCAACCATCTGCAGCTCGTCGAGCACGACACGCGCGGCTACCTGTCGAGCCGCCTGACGTCGGCGGTGCTCCGCGTGAACATCACGACGGGCGGCGTCGACTGGATCGCCGGCGGCGAGTCGGGCACGCTCACCGTCGAGAACTTGGACGGCACGATCTACACGCCGGGCAGCTCCGAGCTGCCGTTCTACGGCCAGCACAACGCGGAGTACTTTGGGGAGAACGAGATCTTCATGGTCGACAACCAGTACGACGAGTCGAGCCCGTCCTTCTTCCGCGTCTACGAGGTCGACGAGGCCGCGATGACGATGCGCGAGACGTGGAACTACGCGTACAGCACCTACCCCTTCGGGAACATGCCCTTCTACGGGGACCTGGACCGGCTGCCGACGTCGAACGTGTTGACGACCTTCTGGCCCGGGTCGCTGCAGAACCTCACGGAGGGCAGCATCAACGCGGAGTTCTACGTGTCCGAGATCGACCGGTCCGACGGCGACAAGGTCGTCTGGGAGGCGGCGGTCTACGGGCTGAACTCCAACGACTGCGAGAAGACGGGCGGCGTCTCCGCCTGCGCCCGCAACTCCTGGGGCGGCTGGCGCGCGTACTCGGCGGAGCGCGTCTACCTGCACCCGCTCGTCTTCGACGCGACGTGCCGCGTGGACAAGGCGAACAACACGGTGCTGCGCTTCTCGACCGTCAACTCCATCAAGCAGAACGACCCGACCAAGGCCTCGTTCCGCCTCGAGGAGCAGGGCGAGGCGGGCCGGGCGAAGGTCTTTTCGGGCGACTTCACGTTCGTGCCGCACTGGCGGACGACGGAGGTGATCCAGACGCTGGCGACGTCGTCCCTCGAGGGCAGCCTCTTCTCCCTGACGGTGACCAACGAGTGGGACGCCTTCAAGACGACGGACGTCCAGTGCATCAAGGCCGACCCGGCGCCCGAGGCGACGGGCGCGGCCTTCACGCCCGCGGTCCCGTCGACGCCGCAGTCGCAGCGCCCCCGCCCCCCGCCGCGTCCCGTTTCTTAATTTCGCTCACTCTCATCGTCGCGTCCCGTTCATGCACCTCGCTAGCTCTTACCGTCGCCCTTCTCGAGGGCCGAGAAGGTCGGCGTCTCGGCGAGGTTCGGGCTCCGCGGGCTCCAGGCGCCGACCTTCCGCCGCCGCAGGAGCCGGAGGCCGCCGTACGCGCCCCCGAGGACGGCGGCGGCGGCGATCGCGGCGACGAAGGCGGGCGAGCCCGCGGCCGTCGCCAGCTCGTCGTCGTCGGACGACGAGGACGACGACGCGTCGGAGGAGGAGGACGCGCTCGACGACGACGAGGAGCTCGACGCGTCGGAGGACGACGCGCCGCCGCCGACGCCGCCGTCGTCGACCGACGGGGTTGGGGCCGCCGTCGGCGCGGCGGCGCCGACGTAGAGCCCGCCGGCCTCGAAGTCGTCGGCCCAGGGCACCGGCGCCGCCGTCGACGAGGCCGCGCCGTCGGCGACGACGTTGCGGCCGTCGACGTAGCACGGGCACCAGGGGTCGACGGCGAGCGTCGTCGCGACGCGTGCGCCGGTGCCGTCGTCGAGCATGGACGTCACCGTCAGGACGTCGTCTCCGCAGCGGTCCGGGTAGTAGGACAGGCACTCCTCGTAGCTGACGAGCCCGCCGCCGTCGCTCGGCCCGAAGCAGCCGACGACGTAGGGCGGATCTTTCTGCACGTGGTAGTGGTACACGTCCGCCCCGCCCGACTCCGGCGTCGGCCCGAAGTGGGCGCCGCACGCGTCCAGCACCGCGAGGGCGCCCGTGTCCTCCCAGATGCCGAAGACCCCGAAGGCGCCGTCCGCCGCGACCTCGGCGACCTGCGGCGAGTGGCCCGCGGCGTCCGGGTCGTAGAGGCAGTCCAGCTCCTCGTGGAAGTGGTAGATGGTGTAGTGACCGCCGCAGCGGTCGAGCATGCTCAGGTAGCTCCCGTCCGCCGCGTAGCGCGGCAGCTCGACGCCGCACTGAAATTCGATCATGCCCTGCGCGACAGTCGTGTCGATCCCGCCGGGCATGTGCCCGTCGCTCGCCGGCGAGCAGCCGAACTTGCGGAGCGTGTACTCGTGGTCGGCGTCGAAGCCGCTCTCGAAGGGCCCGAAGATTTTCTGGCCGACCTCCGGGTGGCCCGTCATCCAGGCGCGGTCGGGGAGGGCGGCGACCGTCGTCACCGCGAGCGTGCCCGTGCCGGGAATGGCGTGGGGATTGTCGTTGTCCGCGAACTGGTTGCGGCTCGCCGGCTTCGGGGCGACGGCGCAGCGGAGGAGCGGGAGGTAGAGCAGGCAGCGCCTCCTTTTGTTCCACGCCATGGGTCGCCGTCCTATTGATCACGCTCGATGCTCATGGCCGAGAGCTCGGGCATCTTCACCATCGTCCCGAAGAAGGCCTCCATCGTCCCGACTTCAACAACGGCACTCTAGTATACTGTGTAAACCTCGTACCCGATCAATGTGGGCAGCCCCGGCCCGCGCCCAGAAACGTCCAGAAGCACAGGGCTGCCATCCACTCCGCGCCGCCCATGGCAATGAGGATCCCCGTCGTCGTCACCGGCCTCTGGCTGTGCTTCCTGGGCCTGCTCGCCGCGATCAGCAGCGGCATCCCGAATTGGGCGCAGCTCGACTATTCGATCGAATTTGCCGGCAATTCGATGTCGTTGGACTGGACCGGCGGCCTGTATAAGGCGAACATGCACCAAGAACGAAGCGGCGTCTTCTTCGGATCCGAGAAGAAGGACGACGACTACACGATCACGAAAGGCGACGACGACGACGTGTGGCCGGAGATATCGAATGGCGAGAACGGGAAGCCCTACGACGACGAGATCAAGGAGCGCGGCGCCCGGGTCGTCGCGCGCCGACGCTCCCCCCACGCGCGCCTCCGCGCAGGTTCGAAGTCAACCGGGCGTCGACGACGTTGCTCGCCTTGGTCCTCTTCCCCGGCGGCCTCGTCTACGCGGCGCTCGGCGCGCTCGGAAAGACTCTGAAGCCCGTCGAGATCGCCGTCGGCCTCGCGGCGGTGATCTTCGGGATTTTTGGCTTGATCGGCGGCGGCTACTGGTACAAGCAGATGGACGTGGACGACGACACCTTCGACGACGACGACAAGGGCTGGGCCCGGTCGCCCTGCACCGCGGGCTGCGAGCTCGAGCTGTTCGTGGGCGCCACCGCGGTCTTCACTAGTGAAGCGTGGGCATCACACACCTGGGCATCACACCACCGAGCATCACACTCACACCTGGGCATCACACCAGAACTGGGCATCACACTCGCCCGAGGTAGTCTGTACTACATGGCTACTACATCATCGGTAGGCGACGTCCCAGTGGAATTCCAACTGCCGCGGCAGGGAGGCGCGCGGCGCGGCGGTCACGATGACGGTGGCGACGACCTGGTAGTCCTTCCGCCAGGGGACGCCACCCCGCACGCGGCGCGCGAGGCGTCGCAGCTGCGGCGATCGTTCTTCAAATCGGACCTCGGCGCGACGACCGCGTAGAGCAGGTGCGAGCATTCGTTAAAACTCTCAAAAAAAGAAGTCATCGCCATTGGGCCGCCCCGCGCCCCCGCGCGCGAGAACCCCGCCGGCATAGACGCCGGAGAACGTGTCGGAACAACCGCGCGTCGCCGCAGTGGCGCCAGTCCTCGACCAGACGCCTACCGCGTGGCAGCCCGACCCGCGCCGCCGCCGCCGCCCACGGCCCGACGAGGGCTGCCCAGCGCGCACCGCGCGCCGCGGACGCCACGCCAGGGCCGCGACGAGCGCGACCGGAAGCCGGCACGCCGTCCGGCGCAGCCTCTGGGCCGGGCCATAGCATCGGAAATCGGGGCAGTAATAGCAACGTCCGATCGTGTGGCCAGAAACAAGCCTGCGCGTTTGTTTGACTCCGGAGTTGCACTTTAATCTTCTCCGCTCGGCCCAGGCCAAAACACCGAGCATCACACCCGAAAACACGCGGACCGAGGGTCACACTGGGCATCACACCAACACACCTGGGCATCACACCTGAGCATCACCCGTCCCTAGTCTTCACGGGCATCGGCGTGGTCTGCGCCACGGCGCGGGGCGGGGAGACACGAGGGAAGGCCGAGTCCTCAGGCTGGGGCGCGGCCTACGTGGAGCGCGGCTCCGGCGCCGTCTAGCCGCGACGCGCGCCGCCCGGCCCCCCGCTTCGACCGGAGAAGCCGACCATCCGCGTTCCGGAGTTTTTGTTGTGCCTAACTTGGCCATCGACTACCGGCAAGCTTGTGGCAAGGAACGCGTCGCGCTAGGGCGACGTCTCGGACGGCATTTAGACCGCCGCGCACCACGGGCGCGGCAAGGTGAAGTGCAAGGTGTGCCTCAACATCACTTCAGCTTCCCGTCGCCGCGGCGGGCCAGCGATTCGTCGAGCGCCGCCGCTCCGCCGTCGCGCGCCGCTGCCGCCAGCTCCGCCGTCGCTGCGCCGCCGCCGCTGCGCCGCCGCGCCGCCTTCCCGGCACCATGGCGGAACAGAAGCAGCAGGCGCTGCAGCGCAGCGTCGATGACCTCGTCACGGGCATCGACAAGTCGCACCTCATGCCCATGCGCAAGAGCGCCTTCCTCGCCATGGCCAAGTGCTGCGACCTCGGCACGGCCGCGGCCTACCAGCAGTGCGTCCAGCGCGCCGGCGCGCCGGAGCAGCGCGCGTCCGCCGTCATGCAGCAGGAGCTCGGCGAGTTCCAGCAACGGCTGCAGCGCGCGGCGATGGCGTGCCAGGACGAGGTCAAGGACTACGGCTACAAGGACCAGGCGAAGATGCAGGGCGCCTTCGAGTCCTGCGTCAACGGCGCGCTCGACAAGCACATGAAGCTGCTGCCGACCATCAAGAAGCGCATCGAGGCGTCGTTCTAGGAGGGTCGGGGGTAAATCGCGGGTCGTCCGTTCGGGGGGACCTCCGGAGCCGCCGGCGGCGATGCGAGAGTTAGGGACACAGGGATCACGACTGGCGGCGGAGGCGCGCGAGGACGCGACGGATGCGGCTCTTGACGGACCGCCAGAGCCGCCGCGGGAACCGCGGCCGCCGCGGGAGGGACAGGCGCAGCGGGAACGACGGCGCGTCGTCCTCGCGATGCTCGTCGACGACGTAGTCTTCCTCGTCCACATCCTGTTCGAACGCGCTCGTGGGGGCCGCGGGAAATGCCTCGTCCAGCGCGTCGTCGGGAACGGCCTCGTCCAGCGCCGCGTCGGCCGCGTCGGCCGTCGCCTTGTCGAAGAGCGGCCTCCCGACGCCCGTCTTCCGCGTCTCGGCGAGCAACGCGTCCGGCGGCGGCGGCGCGAAGGCGGCGGCCGCGTCCGGCGGCGGCGGCGCGGAGGCGACGGTCGCGTCCGGCGGCGGCGGCACGGAGGCGACGGCCGCGTCCGCGGCGGCGACCGCCGGCGCGTCCTCGGCGACCGCGTCCGCCGCCTCCTCGGCGGCCGCCGCCGCGGCCGCCGGCGCCGCGTCGGCGACGGCCGCCGGCGCCTCCTCGGGCGCCGCGCCGACGAGCTTCTTCATGAGTTTGAAGATGAGTCTTCCCGCGAGCCGGAAGGCGACGTAGTCCTCGAAGACGACGCGGAACGCCGCCGTGACCTCGTCGTTCTCCACGCCCGCGAAGCAGCCCTCGAGGACGATGGCCAGGCGCGGGTTCACCTCGTCCGCGCGCTCGAGCGTGCCCTCGGCGGCGGCCCAGGCGCGGACCTCGTCGACCATGGCCTCGAACTTGCGCCCGGCGTCGGACGCCGGCGCGGGCCGCGGCGCCGCGGCCGCGTCCGCGGACGCGCCCAGGAGCTCGTCGACGAGCGCGTCGTTGCGGTCGCCCAGGAGCCGCGAGTCCGGGAATTTTTCTAGATACCCGAGCATGAAGTCGGAGAAGACCAAACCGTCCTCGGCCTCGACCTCCTCCATGAGCGACGTCACGGACGCGCAGGAGCCGCGCTTCTCGCACGTGCAGTCCGCGCCTGTGCCGAATTCAACCGCTGGTTTGGGTGGTCCTGACCAAACTTGAGAATTCTCTAGCTCGGTCAAATCGAAGTCGATTCGGCTGATTTTTGGACGAATCGATTGCTCTCATCGTGTTCTCGAAGCACAGTCGAAGAAGTTGCGTCGAAACATTCGCGTACGCTCACATTGAAGTCGAGTTGAAGATTTGAATTCGGCACAGGTCCGCGCATTGCCCGAAGGACCGCACCGCGGTCCCCAGCCGTTCCAGCGCGTCCGCGTCGAGCGCGCCGCGGCCGGCGATATCCACGGCGTCGAAGGCGCGCCGCCCCCCGGCCAGGGCCGCGTGCGTCCGCGCCGCGTCGCCCGCGAGCCGCCGCGCCGTCGCCGCGGCGACGTCGTCCGGCCAGCCGGCGAGCGCGGCGACGATGGCCGCCTCGAGCGCCGGGCCGTCCGGCGCCGGGATCGCGCCGCCGTCGTGGCCCGCCGGCGGCGGCGCCCGGGCCGCGGCCTTGTCGACGGCGGACTCGAGCTTCTTGAAGATGAGGTCGCCGGCGATGCGCACGGGCGCGAGATCCTCGTAGAGGATCGCGACGGCGCCGACGACGCGGTCGTCCGCCAGCGCCGACGACGCCGCGCGGCAGAGCAGCCGCTTCCGCTCGCCGTCGACGCGCGCGAGCGTCGACGCGGGATGCGACGCGAAGCGCTGGCACATCTGCTCGAAGCGCAGCGTGTTTTTCGTCTGCGCCGGCGCGAGGGCGAGCATCGCCGGTGTTAATGCGAGCGATGATGTGCAGGCGACGAGCAGCGCGCAGCACATCGCCGTGCATCGCTTCGAGCATGCCATGAGATCGCGGTGCGTCGCGGGCATCAGAATCAAGCCATGCTCAAGCGCCGCTCTGCCAAGCAACCCCGAGCCGGCTCGCTGTATGTATTTGGTTCCGCTAGCTTATGGGGTGACCATTTCTAGCCCACTTTTCGCCATGGAGGGGGCGGCGATGGGGGTTGGCGCGGCTAGGACGCCCGAGGCATGCATAACCCTTGGCGCTACCATCGAGACCCGATTGTTTCAGCCATCGCACATGCAGAGATCGGTCGATTTATAGGTCGTTTTGCACGACGAGCCGGGTTTTCGCAGTCCGCGGGTCGTCATCGACCTCGCCCACCGCATCGAGCGCTTCCCATTCGATCAAACCATGACCGAAGGCTGTCGAAGCCGCGCTTTGGGCTGGCGCATGCCGGATTCGCTCATGGGGCAGCCCCGCACCGCACTCCGCGCCCGCACTTCCGAGGTGCAGTTCGGGCCGAAGATGGGCATCTAAATTCAGGTGAGGCTCGCATATGCCCTCGCGGGAAGATCCCGAACGTAGTTTGTATGGGTCCCCTGAATAACGGACCCCATGCCGACGCGCTCTTGGCCCCGGCGGTCACCCACATCCCGACCATCGAATTCTCCGCCCTCTCGCGCGTTTCGCGACGAAATTTGACGCGCTCTTTGCGTCCGACGCTGCGTCATAACCCCTCCGAGGCTCGTGCCAAGCAGCTTGCTGCGACTCGGGCGGCAAGCTCGCCGTCGGGACGCCGCCGGCCGCCGAAGACGAGGTCCAGATTTGGAGCTCTCCGTAGTGACGGACAAATGATCGAGCGGCGGCTGCTTGGCAGTGTCAAGACGTCAAGCCATCGTGACGGTGCAACTAAAAAGAAAATGTCGGCGATGAAGTTTATTTGCCGCAAGCATGCGATGCTGATCGCGCTCGCGCTCGTCGCCTCCGCATCGGCGCTGCAGCGTCCGCGCAGCGCTCGACGACTCGACATGAGTGCGATGGCAGCGTTCCAAAAATCCGCCGCCACGATCGCCGACTACGACGCCATCGCGGCGGCCTTCGACGCCGGCAACAAAGACCACGACGTCTCGCAAAACATCGACGCTCTATTGGTCCCGCTGGAGCGCGCCCAGCCCGGCGCGAAGCTCACGGTCGTGGACCTCGGCTGCGCGGGCGGCCGCGACCTCGTCACGTTCCTCGCGCGCGGCTGCGACGCCTGGGGCGTCGAGGGCTCCGCCGCGTTCTGCGAGCTCGCGCGCCGCGCGGCGCCGGGCAGGACAAGGGTGATTCAACGTCGCTTCAACGTGAGTGTTCCGCGCGCGCGCGTTCCGGAAAAAGCATCCACGCTTCGAGACCGTTCCGAGAGATGATCGCTCGTCCAAAAATCAGCCGAAACGAGTGGAAACCGGCCGAGCTAGGAGCCTTTGAAGTTGGGAATTTCGCTCTCTTGTCCTGCCCAGGCGCGGCGCCGGCCGCGACGGTCCTCGAGCAGGACCTGTGCGACCTCCGGCTCCCGCCGGAGACCTTCGACGGCGTCTTCGCGAACGCGTCCCTCTTCCACGTGCCGCGCGAGCACCTCGCCGAGCTCCTCGCGCGCATCCGCGCGTGCCTCAAGCCCGGCGGGCGCTTCTTCTGCTCCAACGCCCACGGCTTCGGCGAGGACAAGGAGGGCTGGACCCAGGGCCGGACGCCGTCGACGCGGTCCTGGGTCTGCTGGCTCAGCGAGGCGTCCTGGAACGCCGCGTGCGAGGCCGCGGGCTTTGCGCTCGCGGACTCGTACTACCGCGGCTCGTCGAAGGCGTTCCTCGCGACGGTCTGGGCGAAGCCCCGGGCGTCCTAAGCCAACTGCCGCAGTAGACTTTCCGTGCTAAGGCGGCCCGCCCCCCTGCGGGCACGGACGACTCCTGGGCCCCCACTGTTACAACCGCGCGTAGCCCGCGGCGGCGGCGTCGCCGCCGCAGCAGGCGCACCAGCCGCAGCAGTAGGCGAGGACGCCCGCGGCGCAGCAGCAGAAGACCGCGACGGCCGCGAGCACCGCGACGAGCATCCAGTTCTCCTCCCACCACGTCTCCGGCGAGGACGCCTTGATCGCCGTCATGTTGTAGGGGCAGAAGTCCATGGAGTCGCCCGAGCCGAGCTTCGCGCAGTAGTCCAGCGGGTCCACGAGCTCCGGGTGGAAGAACGTCCAGTCGAAGTTGCCCTGGAACTCGACGCCTAGACCGGACGCGCCGCGGCACCAGTTGCTGCCCCAGTCGTAGGAGTCGTTGCCGTTGTGGAAGCCGACGTCGTTCCGGCAGAGCGACTCCGCGTTCGCGTCGAGGCTCAGCGAGTCGGGCCCGCCCAGGGACACGCCGATGTGGTTGTCGACGTAGCGCGCGTAGCCCGTGTTGCACGCGATCAACTCGTCCTGCGCCTCCGTCACGTACGACGCGAAGAAACTCACGTTGTAGCCCCGCTTCGCCGCGCGGCGGTTGTGGATCGACACGACCTCCATGGCCCAGCCCGCGAGCGTCGCGTCGATGTTGAGCAGCGAGCGCGTCCACGTGCACGATTCCGCGTCGGTCTCGTGCGAGAACGTCGACGCGCCGAGGTGCTGGTCGCTGTGGGCCTCGAGAAACTCCGGGATGGCGGCGGCGTCCGTCGACGGCTGCGTGATGCGCAGGGGCAGCAGGTCCGGCAGGCCGAACAAATTGACCAACGTGCCGCCCTGCGCGGTCCACGCGTCGTCCATCTCCGCGATCGTCGTCGCGAGCTCGTTCGCGCCGCCGCACTCGCCCGCGCCGTAGGCCGCGAAGGTGCCCGCGTTCGCGGACGAGACGTTGCCCGTCACGAGCTCGACGACGTGGCCGCTGCCGGGAACGACGACGCGCGCGCTGTAGACGACGGCGCCGTCGGCGTCCGTATACCGGCGGCCCAGGTAGGACACGCCCGACGAGCCCCAGAGCTTGAGGTGCGTGTCGAGCGTCGGCACGTAGTGGGAGCTGCCCTGTGCCGTCCACTCGCTCCACGCGAACGTCGGGTCGGAAAAGTCGTTCGCGGCGACGAAGCCGTCGGCGAAGTCGCAGGTCGTGATTTCTTTCTGGGGCGTCACGTGGCCCTGGTAGTAGTGGAACTCGAAGTTCGCCAGGACCGTCGCGACGACGCGCTCGGCGCAGGGCTTCAGCGTCATGAACTGCGTGCCGGCGTTGCAGTAGTAGGTCACGTTCACGCTCACGACCATGCCCAGCTTCCAGGCGACGAATTCGCCGTCGTCGAAGGCGCGGCAGCTCGCATGGGTCCTTTTAAACATGCTGATGTTCGCCGTCGGCGTCTCCAGCGCCGCGGCCGCGGCCGCCAGCAGCGCGGCCGCCAGCATGGCCCGAGGCCGCGCCATAATTAGATGACGCCGGGCTGCGCCAAGTGTTGCACTCGGATATATTTTTTAGGGTTGTTTCCCTTTACCTTCGTCACCGATGGCGTGCTTAACGTGATGCTCTAACGAGGTGCCGAATTCGCGTTCATCGCCATGACGGCCCGCCGCGACGCGACGGCGCCCCGGGACACGCCGGCGCCCGCGGCGCCGGCCCCGACCCGGTTCCCGCGCCTGAGTCGCATCACGAACTCCATGGGCTGCGTGCGCCTCATCTGCGTCCTCGAGACGCTCATCGTCGCGCTCTGCCTCCTCGAGGCCCACACGCGCTGCGGCGAGCGGTCTCTGGGCTGCTGCGTGAGCTCCAAGTGGTGCGGGCCCGACGCGCCGCGCCGCGCGACGGCCGCGCGCGCGCCGGACGCCGCGAACGCGACGAAAATAAGGTCCGGCGCGTCCCTGCCGCGGCTGCTGGTCCTCGGCTGCGTCAAGTGCGGCGGCGCGGCGCTGTTCGATGCGTTGAACCGCCACGCGGACTTCGTCGGGCGGAGCTCGAACTTCTTCGACGTGCGTTGGGACGACGACCGCCACGCGGCGCTCGGCGACGACGAGGCGCGGTGCCGCGCCTACGAGTCGCTCTTCTCCAAGCTGACGGCGCGGCGCGGCGCCTACGACGTCGCCGTCGACGCGACGGCGACCTACTTCCGGGACCCCAGGGCCGCGCCGCGCGTGCGCCGCTGCTTCGACGACGGCGCGCTCGCGCGGACGACGCTCCTCGCGGTGCTCCGCGACCCCGCGGCGCGCCTCTACAGCGAGTATGCGGTGATCCGCTCGCGACAACCCGACCGCTTCGGGAACGCCACCTTCGCGCGCGCGGTCGACGGCTGGCTCTCGGACCGCGGCGACGCCGAGGGCCGGCGGCTCCTCGCCGTGGGCCACTACGTGGACCAGCTCCTCGCCTGGCACCGGCACCTGCCCCGCGAGGCGCTGTACGTCGTGCCCGCGGCCGCGCTCGACGACGACGCGACCCACGTCCGCGAGATCGCGCGGCGCGTGCTCACGCGCGCGCGCGTCTCCGCGCACCTCCACAACGTCTCCGCGCCGCCGCGGCGGCCGCCGGGCGAGGCCGCGGCCTACGCGGCGCGCACGGGCGACGCCATGGACGACGCGACGCGGCGGCGGCTCGCGGCGTACTACGCGCCCCACGACGCGCGGCTCTGGGCCCACCTCGCGGACCACCGGGACCTCGTCATCCCCCGGGCCTTCCAGGTCGCGCCGGGGGACCCGACCACGCACTGGTGGTAACCTTCGATCGGGTTTTGTAGTTATGGTCACTTCAACTCAAGTTCAAAGACGGACTTGCACGCCGCGCCTGATGTGCTCGGCCACGCTGAGCAGCTCCGTTGCTAGAGGTGCTGCGCAAGCCGAGCGACGAGCTCCGTTGCTAGCGGTGCACACTGCGCAAGCCGAGCGCTGAGCGGCTCCGTGCGAGCGGTGCACACCCGAGCGACGGCAGCTCCGTGCGAGCTGTGCACGCAACAACCCTCGCAATGTGGCTCCTCTTGCTGCTCGCGCCATCAGCGCGCGCACTCCACGCCGTCAACGTCGAGGTGCGGCGCAGCCTCAGCGTCCCGCCCGCCGCGGCGAGCGCCGCCTGGCTCGACTACACCTGGTCCGGCGGCGGCGGCCTGCCGGGCCTGCTGCTCCGCGAGCCGTCGGACGCCGCCGTGCCGCGCGAGCGGCTCATCCTGCCGCTCGGTCTGCGCGAGACGCTCGACGAAGCCGCCGGGACGACGCTCCGCTACCGCGTGACCGGCGCGGGCCTCGCGCGCGACGTCGTCGACGGCTCGCACCGCGGCGTCGTGGCCTTCGAGGAAACGGACGACGGCTGCGAGATGGTGTGGACGGCCGACTACGAGGTGTCCGCGCGGCGGACGTTCTGGCAAAAGGCGACGGAGGTCCTCGTCGGCGCCGCGGGCGACAACCTGCAGCGCTACGTCGCCGCGCCGAGCCGGCCGCGCTGGTTCGACCCGCTCGACGAGTTCGGCCTCGGTTCGTCCGTCGACCGGAGCAAACCGCTGCTCCTCGTGCTCCCGGGCCTCGACGGCTCCGCGGTGACCGCGTGGACGCAGTACCCGGAGCTCGCGACGGGCTACGAGGTCCGCGCGCTCGCGGTGCCGCCGAACGCGCGCGTCGACTTCGACGGGCTCGTCGCCGCGGTCGTCGCCGCCGCGGAGGGCGCGGACCGAGACGTCTACGTGCTCGGCGAGAGCATCGGCGCGGGCGTCGCGCTCGCGGCCGGGAAACAGTCCAAGGCCGTCGACGGCCTCGTCCTGGTGTCGCCGGCGACGTCCTGGGCCGACACGCCCCTCGGCGGCGCGCGGGAGGCGCCGCTGAACGCGCCGGACCTCGTTTTGATGGCCGTCGTCGCGATCAGCGCGTACCAGCTCCTCGACTCCGACCAGCTCGCGACGACGGTCCGGCGCGTCGCGCGCGAGCTGCCCGCGCGGCTCGCGCTCGAGCGCGGGCGGTCGACGCGGCGCCGCGGTCCGGGCGACGCCGCGGTCCGGGCGACGCCGCGCCGCGTCCGCCGCGACGGCGGCGCCGAGCGCGAACGATCCGTCCAAAAATCGCGGAAATCCGTCGCGATCGCGGCGAGCGGCGCGCGGTGCCGGCGGCCTCCGGTGGCGGCTCCGCGCGTGGATCGAGCCGGCCTACGCGGCCGCGGCGACCGACGCTCTGGCGACCATCGCGTGCCCCGTGCTCTGCGTCGCCGGCTCCGCGGACCTGCGCGTGCCCGCGGAGGCGGAGGCGGCGCGCATCGCGCGCGCCGTGCCGCGCGGCGCGCTGCGCGTCGTCCCCGGCGCGGGCCACGCGGGCGCGACGGACGACCGCGTCGACCTCGCGGCCCTCCTGGCGGACTGGCGCGCGGGGCGCGTGGCTTAGTCCTGGAAGATGGCGCGCGGCTTGAGGGGCTTGCGGGACGACTCCTCGTCGAGGATCTCGAAGCGCGGCGCCGCGGGCGACGGCGGCTTGGCGCTCGGCGGCGGCGAGTTGTGGGCGAAGAGGGAGTCCATCTCCTGGAGGGCGATGGCGCTGTTGATCGTGAGGTCGTCGCGCTCCGCGCGGCGGATCGACATGGGCCCGTCGCGCTTCGCCGTCGAGAAGACGAGGCGCCGCGGCTTCGACGCCGTCGTCACCGTCGCGTCGTCGTTGCTCCGGTCCTGGAGCACGCCGAGCACGGGCCGCGCGGCCGACTGGGGGACCGCGCCGAGCGCCGGCCGCGCCGCGGACCGCGGCGCGGCGGCGCGCGGCGCCGCGGGCCGGCCGCCGCGCGCGACGTGGCGCCGCTCCTCGAAGCTCACCTCGTCGCCCCGCGCGTCCGGCGCCGGCTCCGGCTCCCTCGCGGGGCAGTCCGCGAAGGCGACGCGCGGCGTCCGGCGCGCCGCCGCGGGCGGCGGCGGCGGCGGCGGCGCCGCCCCGTCGTCGAAGATCGCGACGGCCGGCGCCGGCGCCGGCGCCGCGTCCGAGTCGTCGAAGATCGCGAACGCGGGCGCGGCGGGCGCGGGCACGGCGGGCGCGGGCGGCGCGGACGCGGCGGGCGCGGCGGGCGCGGCCTCCTCGAAGATGGTGAAGGCCGGCGCCGCCGCGGCCGGCGCGGCCGCCGCTTCCGGCGGCGGTTCGGCGACCGACGACGGCTCCGCGTCGGACTCCGCCGCCTTCCGCGACTCTGCCTCCGTCAGCCAGTGGCGCCGCATGCGCCGGTCGAACTCGCGCCGCCGCTTCGCGAGCATGTCCCGGGGCCTCGCGTTCAGCGCCGCGCCGCGCGCGAAGAGCGATTCCGCCTCCGTAAAATCCCCGGCCTTCTCCGCGACGAAGGCCCGCGCCACCCAGAACAGGGCCAGCTCCGCGCCGATGTTCTTGACCACCATCTCCGCGAAGACGGGCTTCGGATCCGACGCGACGGAAGCCACGCCCAACCACACCCGCACGAAGCGCTCGTCGTTCCGGTAGCGCGCGTCGTCCGCGAGCGCGGAGGCGCACCGCTCCCGGAGCTCTGCCTTGGCGCGGTGGGTCTCGATGTACTCCAGCCAGGCGGTGAGGGGATCGTCGAGCAGCGCGAACTCGCGCGCGCGTTCCTCAACGTCGTCCATCGCGTCGCCGCGCTCGTTCCCCAACGGGTTCGGCGGGGTGGTCGACAGTGCGGCGGCAGTGCGGCAGTGCGGCGCGCGAAGGGGTTTGACGCTGGGTGGTGCGGTCGGTGGGGGGCGGCGCACGGGTGCGCGCAACGCCGGGCGGTCGACGGCGGCGCAGGCGTCCAACCGTGGCAACACGATCGGCCTACGATCACGCCAGGCGGCCTTGGCCGGCCCCCCGGGCCGCCCGGGGACCTCCGGGGCTGGGCAAGTGGCTGGGCGTTCGGGCCGGCCCGCCGGGCACCCTGCGGGCCCCGGTCCAGGCGTGGGTCCAGGCCTCGCTCGGTCCACGGCCGATCCAGTTCGACGAGTTCCTGAAGTAGTCGTACACGAGCACAAGTTTAAGCTCCAACCTAGAGCAGGAACACGCGGTCGCGGCGGACCTCGAAGACGTCGCCGTAGGCGTCGAGGAACGCGCGGAGGGGGACCGTCTTCACGGACTCGGTCAGGCGGAGCGCGCGCTGGAGCGCGGCCCGCGCCTTGTTGAGCGTCGGCGGCGCCGGCGCGTTTCGGAGCTCGCCGCGGAGCGCGGCGACGGCCGCGTCGTCGGCCGGGCCGCGGCGCCACGGCCGCGTCGGCGCGTAGTCCGCGCGCGTCAGGTCCGCGGGCGCGGCCGCGGGCGCCGCGGGCGCGGCGAAGAGCGACCCGAGCGGCGGCGCCGCGAAGGGCGCCGGCGCGGCCGCGGCCGCCGGCGCGAACGCCGGCGCGGCCGCGCTGAGCAGCCCGTCGGCCCGCGACTCCCAGCGCTCGGGCGTCACCGCGGGCGCGGCGCCGCGGGGGTTCGCCGGGAGCGCGTCGCCGGGCGGGGTCGCCGGGAGCGCGTCGCCGTCGTCGCCCCAGGCGTCGAGGCGCCGCGGCGCGAGCTCGACGACGTCGCGCTTGGGCACGCGGCGGACGCGGAGGGCCCGCGGGTGGCGCTCGAGGAGCGCGAGCAGGCCGCCGTGCGACGCGCGGACGCGGCCGAGCGCGTCGACGCCGACGCGCGCGCGGAGCGCGTTCCCGAGGTCGACGGCCGTGAGCGCGCGGTCCGCGGCGGCGTCCAGGATCGCGACGGTCTCGCGCACGACCGCGGCCTCGTCCTCGCGGCTCGCGGCCGGCGGCGGTGGCGCGGGCCGGCGGCGCGCGGCGCGGCGCGCGGAGCCGCCGGACGAGTCCGAGGAGAAGCTCGCCGTGCGGCGCATGCCGCCGCGGTCGCCCGGCGCGCGCGCGAGCGGCCCGGGCCGCGGCCCGC